TGTTAGAAACAGAAGGGAGTGAGAGTGCGTTCCCCCCTGCTTGTTTATGTAGTACATGGCCGTGGTGTTGTCCATAACTATTTGAACACCATGACCACATACTAGAGGGAGAAAAGCCTTCAATGCCTTGATGACTGCTAGGATTTCGAGGTGGTTGATGTGAAAATCCCGTTCCTGGGGAGACCATAGGGCATGGACGTGATGAGGGCCACAGTGTGCTCCCCCACCTGTGGGACTGGCATCCGTGGTAACTAGGGCAGTTAACTGAAGAGGTCGGAAGGGCCGTCCCACTTGAAGGTGAGGAACAAATGTCCACCACTGTAACTGTCGTGCTAGTTCTGATGTAACTTGGAGACGGCGCTCCTGGTGGTGCCTCAGAGGATCGAAGAGAGCTAGCAGCCATACCTGGAGCGACCTGAGCTTGAACCTGGCATGAGCTAAGCCGGGTGTAGTCAAGGCCATCAAGCCGAGCAGGTGTTGGGCATGTAGAGCAGTGACAGTCTTCCCTGCCCTGAATTTTCGCACAGCACGTAGGATCTTCTTTATGTGCTCTCGGGGAAGAAATATGCGTCCTTTGGTGGCATCCAATGTAGCACCTATGTAGTCCACAGTTTGTGAGGGGACGAGGTGGGACTTCTTGTAATTTATTTGGAGGCCTAAGTTCCGAAGCACATGGAGAGTGAATTTCGTGTGTTTCAGGGCCCTGCTTCTGGAGGGTGCAACAACCAGCCAATGGTCAATGTAAGGGAAGACACGAACTCCGTGGAGTCGCAGGTAAGCAGCTACCGGAGCCATGCACTTTGTAAACGTCCTGGGCACTGTCACAAGGCCAAACAGGAGAGCCAGGAACTGATAGATGGTGTCCTGAAAAATGAACCTGAGGAACTTGCAATGACTGGGATGAATCGTAACATGAAAATATGCATCCTTTAGGTCTATGACCACGAACCAGTCGCCGTGCTTTAGAAGATGGATGATGGATTCTAAGGTCACCATGCGGAATCTGCGAGGATGAAGGTAAATATTTAGTGTTCTTAGGTCCATGATGGGTCTTATACCTCCTCCTTTTTTGGGAACAGCAAAATATCTTGAACAAAAGCTGTTTGAAATGTCTCTTTTTGGCACTTTTTGAATGGCACGTTTTTTCAGGAGGGAATGCACCTCCTCTTCTAAAGCAGGGTCGAATGATGTGTATTCTACGTGACCTAAAGAGGATATTCAATAAATTCCAGCTGGTAGCCGGAATGAACAATGCAGAGAACCCATGAATCGGTGGAGATGGTGGACCAGTTTGGGTAAAACGGTTGAAGTCTTGTGACGGGAGTCGAGTTTAGGAGAGGATTTGGCAAATCAAAGGTACTGCTTATGCTTCTTAGCAGGGGTCTTATAGGACTGTCAACGTTGAGACGACTGGCTGCGGTAGGTAGAAGACGACGAAGTACCTTGAGCAGATCTAGGTTGAGACTGAGTCTTAAACTGAATGGCTGTGACTGATTAAACTGGTTAGAAGGCTTTTTCCACTGATACTTGCTGAACTTACGTTGAGGCTGAATGTAGTACGATTTAGCTGTCTTTTTTGCCTTATGTAACTCTTCCAGATGACTATCTGTCTTTTCACTAAACAGACGGAGGCATCAAAGGGCAGATCTTCAACCTTAGTTTTCACATCATCGAGGATATTAGCCGATCAAAGCCACGCGTGCCTGCGGAGGGTAAGGGAAGATACAAGAATTCGAGCTGCAGCATCGACCGAGTGTCACGTAGCAATCCTCTGATGTTTTGAGACAGTCTGGGCTTCTTCAAAAGTATTGAGGTAACCCTGTTTGATGTCATCAGGCAACAACTGTAGACCTGGAAGAATTTTAAGCCACAATTGCTTCTGATAAGCTCCTAGGGTAGTCTGGTAATTAGCTACGCGGAAAATGAAGCAAATCTGTCTGCCTATCATCTCTAGTTTCTTGCCTTCTTTGTTAGTAAGTATTACATGGGCCCTCCCAGAGGGTTTCGTACAACTAGTATCAACAATCAGAGAGTTGGGGATGGGGTGTTTTAAGAGGAATTTCGCATCATCCCCAATGATCTTATACATGTTCTCTGTACACACCTGGGTAGTGGAGGTGAGGCCGAATGATGGCCCCAGAGTTCCTGTATGATCTTCAGTAGAGCAGGTAGGTATGATAGACTAGGGGGTGGGGTATACTCCTTAGTAATATCCCCAAATATGAGATCCTCCTCCGGAGGTGCTGGCTCATCCACACGAAGCTTCAAGGTTTTTGCTAATCTGGATAACATTTGGGAGTAAGATGAGAAGTCTTCAGAGGGGGAAGAGTCATGAGGGTCCCCAGTATCTGACTCAACTGTCTCCCCCACTGGTAAGTCATCAGACTTAGGGTGTTGAAGCAACTCGCCTTCTGAATCAGATGGTTGAGAGGAGAAGGGTGCCTCTTCATCCGACAATATTTCACGCATTCTTTTAGGCGTGGATGGTCGACATCGACAGTAGGTGGAGGGGCTGGACGCTGAGGAAGAGGCGTTTCAGTAACTACTGGCAGTGGCAGAGTGGGCGGTTCACTTGGTTTGGGTGGAAGAGGAACCGGCTGCGGATGGTTGTCGACATCATGCTTACGTCAACGTCAATGCTTACAAAGGGGGGTGGACCCCGATGAGGATGAAGAGAGGTAGACATATTTGACACGTCGATGTTGCCAATGTCAATCCGACAACGTTGATGAGGAGGTAGAAGACCGGCGTCTGCGGCATCACTTATGCCTCCTATGTCTTGCACTAGATGATGTAGAATCTTCTGATGTGGAACGGTGTCGCCGTCGAGAACGCCGATGTCGATCCTTGCTTTCTTTACGGTCAGACTGACGTCGATCATCAGAAATATGCTTTTTCTTCTCCTTTTTGTTCGCCAGTGGCGAAGTCGCTCGCGAAGGGGTCGGAGAAACAGAAGGAGCCAAAGACGCACGCCCGGATGATACAGGGCTAAGAGGGGCTGAACCTGCGCTTGCAGTCACTAGGGCAAGCTGACTTGGCGTAGGTGACAGAACGCCAAGGGGTAATACTGGCTCTGATTGCCTGGGAGGAATGGCATGAGGTGCCTCCGATATGGAGTCTTTATCTCCCAGCGAGTCCTCTAAAATCGGTGATGGCACAGAGGACGAAGTAGATGGAAGATGCTGGGTGGAAAATTTGCTCACGGCAAGTTGTTTAGGCTGAAGCTGCTTCGGAAGCTTAACCAGGGCAGCTTTGGTCAATGAGGATTTCTTAGCCGCCTTTTTAGCTGGTATAGGAGCAGGTAGTTCAGAAGGAGTAAGCTCAGACGACTGGAGGGAGCTGCCATCAGCTTGTGGGTTGGAAGAAGCAGACGAAATCTCCATAGCAGAGGGTTTGGAGGCAGATAAAGCCGATCCCCACAAATGAAGTTTCAGTCTTTGCTGCCTCGCCTTCAGAGCCGCTTTAGTGAATGCCTTGCAATGTTTGCAGTTCTGGGGCGAGTGGGATTTCCCCAAACAGAACAAACAAGTGCCGTGCATGTCGTGGTAGGGGATTTTAGCTGAACACATGACACAGCGGCTAAAGGGCCCAGATGGTGGAGGGGGCACAGGCAGGAGCCCGGAGGCCGGGACAGCCGGTAAAAAGGGCGGGAAAATCGATAACTCACGGAGTCAAAAAACGACCCCAAGGCACCACAACAAGTCTGCAAAGCAGTAGGCAAAATCCAGGAACACGCCAAGGTCAAAATCCAGAAAAAACACAAGCCAAAATAGCGAATAAAGCAGAGCTAGAGCGAAAAGGAACCACTTCACACAGCGGAGAAATGGAACTGAGGACTGGGCAGGCGGAGCATGTGCAGTGTAGGTAATCTCAAACTATGTTTCTATTTGCAGAGCTCTAGAATGTTCCGAAGGGGACCGATGCTGGCACTGACTTAACCCTTCACGTGTGCATTCACAGAAGACCACGATGAAGAACCTTACTTATGCTACAAAGATTACAAAATCTCTTCAATTCAGTAGAAGACATGCAACTAGATGTTTAAATAGTGGGTCTAAAATAGAGCAAGTTGTCTTGGCCCTTCATGTATTTTGGATTACAACCCTCATGGTTTCTTACTAGTAGCCATGTTGGGTAGGGCCAGTGGAAGGTGTATACATCTGAAGGGTCACTCAGAAATTTCCCACCTTTGGACTAGATATTGAGACTTTTCACAGAGGATGGTTCTAGACAGGGCAGGGGCAGAGAATGCAGCCCCTAAGGTCTTTTTAAAGTCCCTGCCTCCAATCTTCCAGTTACCAGTCAAAAAAACAGTGTCCATGTGAAGTTATTTCTGCTTCAAAATATCCAGGAACATTTTCTCCATAAAACGGCATGCAAAAGGGCTTTTATGGCATTATCCATGAAAGTCTCCATATAGAAGACGACTTCATGAAGCTAGAAATAACTTCTCACATTTTTCAGGGGCACTGCAGCCCATGATGGGTCCTAGGTATGAAAACTGACCCCTGAATCTTTTGAAATTTCACACCATTGTTCTAGATGGAAAGTTCCTGATACCATCAATCAAAATATATTACGAAACTCACATGTCTTTCCCTCCTACACTGATTTATTTGTGTGTATGTGTGAAAATAATACAGACAGAAGAAATGGGGAAGACTAGGAGGTTTACAAGTTGAAAACAATAATGTCTGGACTACTATGTAAAATTCTGTGAGTGAAATAGAGCAACAAGATGATGAAAGTCTTGTCTGGTAGAACTTACTGTGTCACATAAACTAATACTAATCTACGACATTGTGACTGAGGAGTATGAACTTAATAAAAATAATACAATCAGCATGCCAGTTCTTATATTTTAACTATTTGGAGTCATTTCCTCTAATTATATCCAAAATTCAAATAACTTCTTCAGCTCACAGCTATGGGAATAGTTCTTATTTTTCTGGAGTAATGAATGTAACATTCAAACAGACAAGAATAGATGGTCAACTCACCAAATAAGTATCCATTCCTTTTTCCAAATTGACTTGCTCGTATAAAGATAAATCAGCATCTTTTTCCAGTGCTTTCACCTTTTTCTTGACCCTCTTATTCCGTCTCTTTTGGAGCCAATATGGCAGCAGTGCTTCTACACACTGATTAAGGATTTGGGAAGTTATTAGCAAAGTTGCCAAGCTCTGTAAGAAATTAAACAAAGCAAAACAAGTAAGAAGACTATAGCAGTGCTTTTTAAAAATGATGTTATACCTGTATTCAATTAGCTAATGTACAAGTCTAGTTTGGAAAACAACACAAATCTAAACAAACTATAGATACCGAACAGAATCCAAGTTTTGCTTTTCTTACTGCCCATAGAAAAGGATGAGTTTGAAAGCAATCCCAGAAGCAATGAATTTTACAGGGTTGATAGGAATTTTCCTTCTTGTCAGATTTAACAGTTTCAAGATTGTATCAGATTCGACTTTTCTTCTCTATTTTTGGTGTTGTTGCAACACAAACCAAAGAAATTGACATGTGAGTACCAAAACATTTGCAACTGCAACAATTTTCTGAGAGAAGGGTTGCATTTTCTGACAGAATTGCAAGGGTGCCGATATTTTTGGCCATGACTGTATATCTTAATATACTGTGGCTGAAATCCAATTACACAATTCCACTGGGCATAAACAGTGATGATCCCCCTCCTTACAAGATCCAAGGCTGTGGGGAAGCCTTGGGATGGTACAGGAGGGGAGTCTGTCTATATGAGTAACTGGCTACATGAATAACCTTTAGATGGATTCTTATGCATTACTGCTCTGATTGGGGCTTCAGTACTACTTGTGTTTACCTTCCCCCAGAGTGGTATTTGTTTGTTCCTTTTTAGTATTTGCATACTTATTGTTTTGGCTTTAATATTGTCTTTTAATGATGCAAACTGCCTCTTTATATTCATTGTTCTTAGCTTTAAATATTGTCTTTTAATGGTGTAAACCACTGTTGTATACCCATTGTTTTCAACTTTAAATATTGTGTTTCAAGGATGTAAGCAGCTTGGGGTCCTTTTTATGAAGAGGGAGTAAAAATATTTTAAATAACATAACAAACACATATCAAAAAGATCACTACCAGATTGCTCTCAGCAGTCCTGATCTGGTGGCAGAAACAACAAGCACCAGTTTTCCCAAACTAAAAGCTCCCTTCCTCACTCCTTGATGGTCCCAAGGTTCCCAAAGGCATCCCCATGGTAAAAGGGATCCCTAGGGAGCCTGGGAACTTGAGGGAGGGGGTTAAGGAGTTTGAAATTAAAAAATTTTAAGGGTTGTAATTGGGTGATAACATCATCACCATTAACAACACAATGGAATTGCACCAACTAGATTTCAGTCTATGCTGAGAATAATTACAATAAATACAACAGGAACAATGGAAAAGGCTAACTGTGTAATTCTCACTGAAGGGTATTTACTAAATAAAGGACAGCTCCAACAATTTTAAATAAAATCAGCTTCTTTTTGAACAGACATATCCTAGAATAGTGTTCAGTGTGAAGGAATGATATACCAGTCATACTGCAACACTGAAAGAAATAGATAAGTTTACTAGAATATGGTTAACTACAGCAAATAAACACAATATCCGTATCAGACATGATGATTCCAAATGACAGACAGTCCACTTAAAACTGTCTTAAGAATGTCTTCTCCAAACAGTTCATCACAAGAGGAAGAGCTGCAGAGACTGATTTTGGAATCACTTTCCTAATCTGTAATCATTTTCTGAATCCCTTTGATGTAAATTAACAACAAAAACTGAAGGCACTAAAACAATCAAATACCTCTCATTCAGTTAAGATTACAAAATTCCACGATTGGTACAGTGTTCTATATTAGTATAGTGTCTTAAGAGCTACCAGAACATCTTTTCGTATACAGGGTCTTTGCACTTACCTGTCTCAAAAGCTTTATGTCAAACAAGACAAATGCAATGTAGAACAAAGAAGCAAAGCAATTTAAGAAGTTGAACTGCAAGAAAAAATAGCATTGTATTAGTATCTTAATTTGAAAGGGGAAAGATACGATTCATGTGACACAGTCAACCCAGCCACATCTTGTCCCCATGGTGTGCTGCCACCATGTGGTAATTCATTTACACCAGTCACTTGAAAGAAACTGTTAACAGATCACATCTAGTATTTGTGTATTACCACATATTGGGGGGGGGGCATTCCAACAAATGGAGAAACACAAGCTATATGAAGACTGTCAAAGTATGCAGCGCTGTTGATAGGTGTTATTTGAATTTAATAACTTCCAAACAGTGAGCAGTGTAGAGACAAAAATGAAAACACAAGACTCAGGTGTATTCCCTTCACCACCAGAACTATATTTACAAAATATATATACATATATACACTTCTTCAGAATCGGCAGTGCAGAAATAGCAATCACAGTCCAAGATGCTGACTGACAAAGTGACACACTGCTTCTCCATGAATATCTCAACAACATAGGTTTGTTAACTGCCTACCTATGTACCAGTGTATGATGCAACACTTACTCAGCAAATTGAGCATTGCACATATGCAGGCATGTCACCTATTCTGGCTAGATGCCAACTAGAATGACTCAGTGTTTCTTCCTTTGCTTAGTCATTCTCCCATAATTCAGACAGACGATTCCATATTTTTCTGTCATATGTTTATTTATTTTATTTAGTTATTAGATTTCTATCCCGTCCTTTTAGACAAAGTCTACTCCGGACGGGTTCCATTAAACATTATAAATTAAAACAGAATTCAAAACAATTCAAAACAATAGTAATTAGTAATGTTAACTATAACTGGGGCAAATGCAGACTACAACTGAGATGGTGGTGGTTATAATGTGCCATAAGAATTATTTACGGGGGAATTATTTGCCCATCTTCAGTCCAGATAATATAAAAAGAAATCTGTTATGAATTTTGGTGGCGACATCACCACATAAACCATACAAGAAAAATGAAGGTTACTTAGCTGTAACTACGGTTCTTTCAGTGGTCCTCTGTGAATTCACACAAATGGGTTTAGACTGCGCCTGCGCAGGACTCCTCAGAATATTCTGGAGCTTTAAAACATGTGATTAGTAGGATGTTTCCCCGTGGTGCGTATGCTCCACCCGCCTGTAATACCTCAGTTCTGAAATGTCCACCGCTGTCAAGGCTCTGATTGTAATAAAGCTTAAGAACCAAAGTGAAAGACAGCGGGAAGGATGGGTGGGATGTGTGGATTCACAGAGGACCACTCAAAGAACCATGGTTACAGGTAAGTAACGTCTTGTTTATGGCCTCCATGAGTGCACACAAATGGGTGACTAGCAAGCTCGCCGGAAGGAGGGCCATCACAATAATAATGATGCCAGCACAGCCCTTCTAAAATTAGATTCCTTCTTAAACCTGTGGTGCAGATCGTATTGCATCACAAAGGTTGATGGTGTGGACCAAGTGGCTGCTCGACAAATATCAGAAACATCAACGCCACGCAATAAGGCAGTCAAGGTAGCCATAGCTCTCATAGAATGTGCCTTTAATGCCTCTGGTGGAGCTTTGTCAGCCAGTTCATAGGCCAAAGTGAGAGTAGACACAATCCACCTAGAAATCGTCTGTGAGGAGGCAAGAGAGCCTTTACGTGGGCCACTGAAGCAAACAAATAATCTAGAGGAAAGTGCAGAAGTCCTTAGCCCTAGAAGTGTAAAACGCTAAAGCACGACAAACATCCAAGGAATGGAGCATGCGCTAAACATCCGAAGAAGGATTAGGGTATAATGTCAGAATAATCAAAGATCAGAAGAGATGGATGGGGAGGCAATCTCAGGAACTTGGAGACCATGGTCTTGAGTGCGGGAAACCATGGTTGCCGAGGCCACCATGGGGCCACTAGAATGGCATTGGCGCGTAGCTGGCATATCCTGACCAATGTCATCCTGACCAATGGAATGGGAGGGAACAGATAAAGGAGATACTCTTCCCAATTCACCATGAAGGCATCTCCCAGCGAGGTCCTGTCTCTCCCCGCTCGAGAGCAAAACATGGTGCACTTGGTCTTGTACTGTGTTCCAAACATGTCGATGGTTGGGGTTCCCCATCGAGCTCAGATCAGTGAAAAAATTGAGATGTTGCACTCCCATTTGTGAGTTTGAACAGTCATGCAGCTCAAACGGTCAGCGATATCTTTGTCCTCTGCTGACACATGAATGGAGACTGGAAAAACATGGTAGTCATAACACCATTCCCAAAGATGAATTACTAAATACAGAAGTAGCAATGAATGGGTACCTCCCTGCTTGTTGATATAATACATGGTTGTGGTGTTGTCCGTGGCCACTTGACCTACTATTAGAGGATAGAAAGCGCGAAACACCTTGATATAATACATGGTTGTGATGTTGTCCGTGGCCACTTGGACCCTTTGACCTACTATTAGAGGATAGAAAGCGTGAAACACCTTGATGACCACCAGCATCTCTAGATGGTTGATGTGAAGTGTATTCTCTGACGTGGACCACAGGGCATGAATTTTGTGAGGACCACAGGGTGCACCCCAACCTGTTGGGCTGGCGTCCGTTGTAACCTGGACGTTCAATTGAATGGGCTGGAAGTGACAACCCACTAGTAGGTGAGGCATAAATTTCCACCACATTAGTTGACTCACAAGCTCTGGAGTTACACACAGGTGTTTGGTACAGCTGTCCATCAAAGGATCGAATAGAGACAGGTACCACGTGTGGGAGAGCAGAGATGGTAGAGGCCATGTGACCTAGAAGATGTTGTGTGTGGTGGGCAGAGATTTTGGCATAGGGGTGGAAAGGTAGAATCGCTTGGGACAATTTCTGAATTTGTTTGGGCAGAAGGAAGACTCTTGCGTTGACTGAGTCTAGGGGCGCACCGATGTAGTCCATGACTGGAGACGTCTGGAGATGAGATTTCCCAAAGTTGACCCGCAGTCCAAGGTCTGAAGAACAAAGTTAGTATCCTGTAACACCTTGCGGGAAGAAGAGGCCATTATCAACCAGTCGTCTATATACAGAAATATCGTGATGTTGTGTAGACGAAGGTAGGCTGCCACAGGAGCCATGCATTTTGTGTAAGTTCTTGGCCGGTGGAAAGGCTGAAGGGGAGAGCGCAGAACTGATAGGCCGTATCCGGGAGCCATGCATTTTGTGTAAGTTCTTGGCTGGTGGAAAGGCTGAAGGGGAGAGCGTAGAACTGATAGGCCGTATCCATGAAGTAGAAGCGAAGATACCTGCGGTGAAGCTGGTGGATGAAAATAGGCGTCCTGCAGGTCTATAATGACGAACCAATTGTTTGGACAAAGAAGAGGGACGGCGGAATCCAGGGTGACCATACGAAAATGTCTTGGATGGAGGTAAGTATTCAGTATTCCAAGATCTAGGATCAGAGGGACGGCGGAATCCAGGGTGACCATACGAAAATGTCTTGGATGGAGGTAAGTATTCAGTATTCCGAGATCTAGGATCAGACAGAGACCACCATCCTTCTTGGGAACTGCGAAACAGAGAGACCACCATCCTTCTTGGGAACTGTGAAACAGAGGGAATAGAAACTGTCTAGAAACTCTTGAGAAAGAATGCATTGGATAGCCTGCTTCTGGAGAATAGAAATCTCGTCCTCCAGAGTAGGTGCAAGCCTGCTTCTGGAGAAGAATAGAAATCTCGTCCTCTAGAGTAGGTGCGTAAGTTGCGAGTTTGAGTTGGCCAATAGGAGGAAGATCCATGAACTCCAAGAGGTAACTTATGATGGCAAGCACCCAAATGTCTTTGGTGACAACAGACCACTTGTCAAAGAAGGGGGCTAGCCTGGGATGGTGGGAAAGGTCATGTGGATGGTTCAGAATAGGACAGTCAAATATACTGTTTACCTTTCTTTGCAGGACAACGGAAGGTTTGGCAATGCTGTATAGGAACCTGTGATCTAAAAGCCATGGTAACAGAAGAAGCCAGAGGAGGATTGGATCTTTCTTGAGCAGGAGGTCTGTAGGAACGATAGGCCTGATGGGAAAGTTGTTGATATGGGTGTTGGGTATTGAAGGGTCTGTGCCACTGATACCTTTGGTATCATGGTTGTTTGACAGAATAAGAATAAACTGTCTTCCTGATCTTATGTAAGTTCTCCATCACCTCATCTGTCTTTTCATTAAACAGGCCAACACCATCAAATGGAAGGTCCTCAGTGTGGGACTGTGCATCATCTATGATCCCTGCTGAATGCAGCCAAGCATGCCTCTTGAGCGCAATAGCTGATGTCATGGCCTTAGACACAGCATCAGCCATAACTATTTCCATCTTGATAATGTAGATATGTATATAGACACTGGCTATTAGGTTTTATATGTACAGTATGTTATTTTATCCTGTTTTATCACTCATGTAAGCCGCCCTGAGTAAACTTTGTCTAGAGGGGCGGGGTATAAATTCAATAAAATAAAAGTAAAGTGGCATGATGCTAAACGCTGTTGTTTTGCCAACATCGTTGCCTCTAGGTGAGCGCTAAGGACAGTGGCCCTATTCTCCTCAAGAGCAGCCTGGAAATTGGCAAAACCTTGCTCCATAAATGCCTCTAAAAAGCCACCAAAGCTGCCTGATAATTTGACACCCTAATGACAAATGAGGCCAGAGAATAAAGCCTACAGCCCAAAACGCCAGCTTCCGTCCTTCCCTATTAGTAGGTATAACTTTTGACCTGTTTCCAGCCCAAGATTGATTGGATTGTGCTATGATGGAATTAGGTACAGGATGTTTGGTGAGGAAAGCAGTGTCATTTCCATATGTTCTATAGTGATTTTCAACATGTCTAGGAATCTGAAGAAATGTGGACGGTTGACTCCACGATTCCCTTATGAGGTCCAGCATAGCTAGAATGAAACCCAAACTTAATGGGGGGGGGGACTTATCTTGGTTAATGTCATCAAAGACAAGGTCTTGCTTGGGGGGGGGGAGGTTGCTCTATGTAAAGCTCCAAAGATCTAGCTATACATAGAATTATTTGCGAATACGAGGTAAAGTCCTCAGATGGAGAAGGAGGATGGAGATCAGCAACATCTGCCTCAGGAACTGGTAGATTTGAGGGAGATTCACCTGAAGCTTCTGAATCATGTTCTGAAACAGACAATACAGACGAACCTCTCACAATAGAAAGTGGAGAAGGCAAGAGACAATGACCTTTTGAAACATGGGCTGGAGCTCGAAGGACCGATGCTCAAGTGTCTGTTTTAGGTGGAGGAGAGATTTGTGAGGATGCAGCTTGATGAGTAGACCAAGCGTGAGATGTCCTTGGTTGTGATGCAGAGAGCAATGGTACCAAAGGGGCCTGAGACCTCTTCAACATGTGGACCACTTGCTGAGGAACGTCTTGGTGCAATGAGTGACATTTAGCAGCCGGCTTCAATGGCACAGGGTCGAGCTGGTAGTAAGCTTGATATTGACGCCGAGGAGGAGAGGGCGATGGGGGAGGAAGAAGAGGCATAGATGTAACACACTCTCTTAGGCCTCACATAATCAAGGTTGACGTCATCCTCATGGTACCGATGTCGATCGTGCTTTCGATCGACCTCCACATACAAGGGTTCCTCGTAATCCGAAAATGCCTGACATCAAGAGGGATGAGGAAAAACCACAACTTCTCGATGTTGAGGGTACTGTCGTGCTGGAGAAATGTGCTGAGGTTTGGACGCTCGTTTGCATGGAGGAGATTGCTATGGTGACACCTCTGGTTTCGATAGCCAAATTACTGTTGCCTGCCCAATAGACATAGGGCTCTAATGGGCCGAGGCCGGGCTGGAGATGAGAGTCTCAAAACAGCCATGGCTAGGGGACAGTCTCAGTATCGAAACCAAACCTGAATCTGTAGAGGAGGTGCCGAGTCAATCCCTTCAGAAAGGGAGTCCGGATCTGGTAGCTCTCAAGATTATTCCTCAAGTATGGGAGATGGAAGGGAAACCCGAACCGGAGGAAGTTCTCGAAGCTGAGTAGACTTGGAAGATGGTTTATCCTTCTTCTGATTACTGATCACTTTTTTTTTTTCTTATGATCCTCTACAGCAGGGGTCAGGGAACTTTTTTACCTTTTATATATGGCGACATTACCCCCTTGATTTGAAAGGATCTCGGTCATATGCGGCCTGTCGAGCGCCGCCACCGCAGCCTTGCCGACTGCGCCCAGGTCCCCGCCTCCGCCTCAGTCCTTGGCCCCACAGGGGCAGCTCCCTTTCTCCGACAGCGGGCGACTCCTGAGCAGCAGTCGAAGAGCAGCAGGTGACTTCCCCAGCAGGGGGTGCTTGACGCCGCCTCCTGCTCCGGCACTAGCTCCAGCCGCTGCTTGTCGGGGCAGCTGCATCAGGCCTCGGTGTCAGGGCTCCCATGGGCCTTGCCATCGAAGTGCTGCAACACCTGCCGCACAGAGGGCGAGAGGCTCTGCCAGGTCTGGCTGGCATGGGGGTGCCACCGAAGGAAGCTGTGCAGCCGGGCAAGCGCCGCTGCCACCTGACAGGCTCCTCAAGGAACGGGGACAGGGCATGGGCCATCGCTGTCCCAGTGCCAGGATGCTGAGACTGGCCTGGGCCACTGTCGTGGCCACACCCATCCCCCTCCGCCACGATCCACCTCTCCAGGCACTGAAAGGAGAGGATCCTCCTGGCTGGGGCACTCCAACCACTCGCCTCAGCCTCGCCCTCTGCCATGGCCGGCCCCACCACCACTGCCTCAGCTGCTGTATGCCGCCAACTGGGGCCCATCACCAGCCGCCAGCCGCTGTGGCTTGGTTGCAGCTGGGCCAGAGAAGGGGGGGCACGGGCAGCCAGGGACCACCCTCCAGGCAGAAGATGTTGGTGATGATGATGAGGACAGAAGGGGGTTAGGGTCACATCCTCATTATCCCCAGCATTTTCACTTTTACCCCATTTGGGATAATTTACCCCTGTTCCCTGACCACTGCTCTTCAAGATCGAAGTCAACATCAATGCCGAAGACTTCTGCTTAGATGATTTAGAAGACCTCGGAGACGGGGTAGCAGGGACCGAAGAATCAGCGGGCTCGGGACGAGGAGGAGGAATGAGGCCAGCTCCATGGTTGCTGGGCTCGAAGGTGTAAGTGATTTTTCCCCACAGATATGACCAACGCCTCTGCAAGTGGAGCTTAAGGGCCGGTTTGGTTAACTTCTTGCACTCCTGACAGGAGTGAGTTTGGTGTCTCTCTCCCAAACAAAACAAACAGTTGTCGTGGCCGTCCATGAAGGGGATCTTGTTGGCACACAATGTACACCACTTAAATGGGCCTGACAAAGCCATAAAAACTGTCAGAAATGGGGGGAAGGGGGGGAAGGAAAGGAAGCCTTATGGGAAAATGGCAACGATTGTCCAATATCAAAGCCAAAAATCAAAAGCCAAATAATCACAACAAGGTCCGTAATCCAAAAACCAGAATTGGTACACAGTCTGGAGGTCAAAATAGCTGAGAGAGAAAACAACAGCCAATACAAAGTCCGATAATTGTATACCGTAGCCAGTCCAAGGTAAAAAATTCTCGAGATATAGAATGATAATCGATAAGCCAGACCAGAATCGACAGCAGGATAACGGGAAAAAACAAGCCAGACCAGAATCAACACCAGGATAACGGGGGGAAAAAGCTCTAGGCACAAAAGAGTCTGATTGCAGTGGCAGCAAAAAGGAACTGAGGTATTACGGGCAGGCGGAGCATGCGCACCAAGGGGAAACGTCCTACTAATCATATTCTAAACTCTAGAATACTCTGAGGAGTCCTGTGCAGGCACAGTCTAAACCCATCTGTGAGCATTCACGTAGGCCGCGAAGAAGAAACTCAGAGTTGAGGGATAGAAAAACAGACATAATGTTCTAAAGTGAAATACCTCACCACTCAAAACTCATGCAGGAAGGTAGACATTCACTCATATACACATTCAGTCCTACAAGCATCAATAACCAGAACAAAAATAAAATAAAATTTGAGAATGTAAATCCACTACACTACACCAATGCAAGTCCCTTGTTTCAAACTGCAGCTAAATAAAATGCTTCCAAGAACAGCTGCAAAGAGATATACAGCCCACTGACCTGACTCAGGACCCTCCTCAGTACTTCAGTGGTTGCAGCATGAAAGAGAGGTTGTGGACTTCACTGAAAGATGAAGTCAGTTTCCTCCTTTTCCAGCTTCCTTATAAGGCAGTGGTCCCCCCAACCTTGGGCCTCCAGATGTTCTTGGACTTCAACTCCCAGAAATCCTGGCCAGCAGAGGTGGTGATGAAGGCTTCTGGGAGTTGCAGTCCAAGAACATCTGGAGGCCCAATGTTGGGGACCACTGTTATAAGGTACTGATTTGGTTGCTCCTTCCCTGCCTTTAAATAGCTCTTCTAATCTTTTTCATTTTAACATTTTAAACACCATGAATGTCTGACTTAATGTGAGGAATCCACGGTAAGTGCTGCTTCATGCCTTAAGTGCCTTTGGTTTCTTTGCTCCATACCATAGTTATCACAGAGACACACAAATTGTCCTGACTGGATTAGTCTCTCAGCATACAACTCCACACTTCCCTAGTAGGCATCTGGTTAGGTTCTAATCACTTTTAACTTATACTTTTATATAAATGTAGTTTCAACCCAACATACTGTTCAGTTCTCAATTTATTTTTTAAACACCTGGGCAACTACCAAATGGGGGTTTCTCCACAAAAAATTAATGTTGCACAAGCAACTGCCCCATTATCATGAATCTGTTACACAAGTGACTCTCCATAGCCAATGCTATCAGAAACAATCAACAGAGATGTACTGTAGGGACTCTATGCCTGGGGAGGTTAGAAACCAGGAGAAAACTGTCAAAAGAGTGGACATGATGCGTTACTCTGCCTGAAATCAGTTCATCTCTAGATCCAAGTCAACAAACATAGGAAACAGTACTCATTTAACTGGTGCTCACATAATTCAAACATTTTCAGGTATACATACCACTAAGACTTTCAGAACTAAGTGATTCTGATACGAAGATTCCAATCTATGATTTTCTGAAATTTAACAAAGTTTCATATTAAACTAAAGACACATAAAACGTGAAACATTTTAACCATCACATACAAAAAATGTTAAACACTTGCCTTCCTCCAAATGTACACAGTATTAGTAAGATATACTCTATGAAAAACTTGAGAGATTTGCAAAATCCTTACGGAAATTAGAATACTATAGTGTCTGTGTTTAACGGTGTGCTTAATTATAGCTCTGAGTTAACAAGATCTCTTACATCACTGAACAAATGTTTTGTAGCTATAGCTGGCTGAACAGGTTAATAATCTAGCACACCTCAGTGGGAGTTCAATTCCCCACTGTGCCTTCAAGGAGAATAGTCAGCCTGTGTATCCTTGAGCAAACTACACAGTCCCAGGGTGCCCCTCCAAAAGGAGACAGTGGTAAACTGTCTGAATACTTTATAATTAAAAAACCATGAGAAAGTTAGGTTATCTGCCTGTAACCATGGTTCTTATAATGGACCTCTGTGAATTCACACAAATGGGTTTGTTCTGCGCCTGCGCAGGACGTTCAAAATTCTAGAGCTTAAGAAAAAAGAAACAATTTAGTCCCCCCCTAAGGCACCAACTCCGCCTCCTGAACCTTCCTTTCAGTTCCCTGTGTCCGCCGGTACCAAGAATCGGTATCAACACCAAGTGAACATGACAAATAGAGGGGAGAAAGGGAGGGATGTGTGAATTCACAGAGGTCCACTAGAAGAACCATGGTTACAGGTAGGTAGCCTAATTTTCTTCGCAGTGGCCTCTGTGAATGTACACCAATGGGTGAATAGCAAGCTTACTCACCAGATAGAGGGCCGTCATGGTAGCAAGGATGACAATATCGCCCTTCCAAAAGCAGCATCACGCTTGGCTCTGACGTCAAGGTGGTAGTGCTTCGTAAATGTCAGAGGATTGGACCAGGTAGCCGCTTTACAGATGTTCTCTATCTGTATGCCTCTGTGGAGAGCGGTCGATGTAGAGACTGCTCAAGTAGAGTGCACTTTCAAACGGTCCGGTATCGCCTTGCCTGCAAGCTGGTATGCCAACTGTATTGTCTGTACTAACCACCTAGATATAGTCTGTAGGAGGCAGGTGCACCCTTGTTGGGTCCGTGGTAGCACTGGAATAGATGAAAGGAGAGTCTGGAATGCTTAGTCTTATCAAGGTAGAAGGCGAGAGCCCTTCAGATGTCCAGTGTGTGGAGCTTACGTTCAATCAGTGTGGTTGGGGATGGAAACAACCTTGGAAGTATAATAGATTGATTTAAGTGGAAGTCTGACACCACCTTGGGTAGAAAAGATACATCAGGATAGAGAGTGACCTTATCATAGTGCATTTGGAGATATGGAGGGTCTGATTTGAGAACGGATAACTTGCTAGCTCTTCTTGCCAAAGTTATCGCCACGAGAAAGGCGGTCTTGAAAGATAGCAATTTGTCACTATAGGTTGCCATAGGCTCAAATGGTGGATTTGTAAGAGCTTCAAGGACAAGTTGTAGTGACCACTGAGGTACGATATGTTGAGATGGTGGTCTGATGTTCTGCAGACCTTTAAGAATTTTTTTGACAGTGGGATGAGAAAAAAGCTTAGCAGAGTGGGATCCAGGAGGTTGGTGAGCCACTATGGCAGAGATATATACTTTAATAGTGAAGTGCGCAAGTCCAAGATTAAAGACATGAAGAATGAAGGTAAGTATGGTTGTGAGGGATGTAGGGATCAAGGTAAATCCTTTAGATTGAGTAAACTTTACGAAAGAAGTCCATTTGTTCTGGTATAGGTGAAATGTAGACAGTTTCTGAGCCTGATCTAAGACTGTGCGGAATTCAGGGTTATCCTCCACGCCGTGAGGTGCAGTAATGGCTCCATCGTTCTGGGAGAGGATTTATGGTATCGAAGGTAGGTGAAACATCTCCTCCGTTATTTCCTTGAGTTGGGCAAGCCATGGCTGTCGCGGCCACCACGGGGCGATGAGAATTGTGTCTGTTCGGTACTGAATGATTCTGGTTATCGTTTTGAGCAGTAGAGGTATGGGAGGGAAAATGTAAAAGAGTTCTCCGGACCACGGTATGATGAATGCATCTCTGAGCGACTTCGTAACTATGCCTGCTCTTGAGCAATACTTGAGTCATTTGGTGTTGAAACATGATGCAAAGAGGTCTATCGAAGGTTGGCCCCACTTGAGACAGATGTCTCGGAAGACTGTGTCATTGAGGGAACATTCGTGCATCATGGTGGGGAGCCTGCTGAGGGGGCCCACCAAGTAGTTGTCCTCTGAAGAAATGTGGATTGCTTGAGAGAAAACATGGTGACTGCGGCACCATTCCCAAAACTTTATGGTTAAGGAAGGAGGGGCAGGGATCGAGTTCCCCCTTGTTGGTTTATATAATGCATGGCCATGGTACTGTCGGTCATGAGCTGTACCGCTCTCCCCTCAATACGTGGGAGAAAGGCTTGAAAGGCCTTCATGATAGCTAGCATTTCTAGCTGGTTTATGTGGAGCATTCTTTCTGTCTTTGTCCACAGGCTGTGAATCTGAAGTTCCTGGCAATGTGCCCCCCCCATCCGGAAGGGCTGGCATCTGTTGTTACTTATATGGACAGGTAAGGAGGTAGGAATGGTCTTCCTGCCGATAGATTGTGGGCGGATGTCCACCAGGTTAGGTGGTCTGCCACATTTGATGGTACCGTCAGCTTTTTTAGTGGACTGTCTATAGAGGGGTTGAAGTGGGAAAAGAACCAGGCTTGCAAAGTTCGGAGATTCAGTCTGGCGTGGGGAACCACTGATGTTGTGGAGGCCATCAGACCAAGTAAATGCTGAGTATCGACAGCCATTACTGTCCTGAAAGGCTGGAATCACTGTATCGCCTTTTAGATCTTTAAGATTCTTTGGGGTGGCAGAAATGCCCTTGCTTGTGTAGCATTTAGCTGAGCCCCTATGTAGTTGACAAGCTGTGACAGTTCCAGATGGGATTTTTCTCGATTTAGTTCCAAACTTAACTGAGTGTGGTTTTCGTGGCCACAATGACGTCGTGATAGATTTGGCAACCAGAAGCCAGTCATTGATATAGGGGTAGAGTTTTATTCCCTTGGTATGGAGGTAGGTAACCACGGGGGCCATACACTTTGTGAATGTTCTGGGGGCTGTAGGGAGCCCGAAGGGGAGGGTAGCAAACTGGCAGGTTGTGTGTTGAAACTGGAACCTGAGGAATTGATGATGAGACAGATGGATTGATATATGAAAGTAAGTGTCTTTGAGGTCGATGGTGACAAACTAGCTCCCCTGGGACAAAAGAGGGAGAATGGAGTCAAGTGTTAGCATGCGGAATTTTCTGTAGCGTATGTATTCATTAAGGTCTCTAAGGTCCATGATGGGTCTAATACCACCATCCTTCTTAGGGACTGCAAAATAACAAGAGACGAAGCCTTCACTCAAGTCAAAGGATGGGACTTTAACTATGGCCCCTTTACAAAGGAGAGATTATATTTCCTCCTAAAGAAGGAATGAAAAGAGATGGTCTTAACAAAGTTTGGTGAAGGAGTTCGCGAGAACTCAATCAGGTAGCCTTTTTTGATGATGGCCAAAACCCACTTGTCGGTAGTAATCCTCCGCCATTAGGGGAGGAACAGGAAAGATGTCATGGAGTTATGGGAGTAATCAGATGAATTGCTTACCCCTACATTGCTGTTTACGAAAAGGCTGTTTGGAGCCAGAGCAGGATTTTTGCTTGAATTGCAGGGGTTGGTTTGTGGCATCTGGTAAGCCCGTTCCTGCTGTTGCTGCTTGTTGTATTGAAAGGGCTGGTATGGAAGTGCTTGTTGGTAGAATGGCTTCTTGGAAGACGGTTTCTGGTATTTAAACGGTTGGTATGGTATGTATAACTTAGCAGTCTTCCTCATCTTATGGATGTTTTCCATTATATCGTCATATCGTCAGTCTTGGAATTAAACAGCCCTGCAGCATCGAAAGGGAGGTCTTCAATCTTAGTCTTAGTATCATCCAGGATATTAGCCGCCCTGAGCCAAGCATGTCACCTAACCCCAATAGATGTTAATATGGCTTTGGAAGCAGTGGCAGTGGTATGTTTCGCTGCTATCCTTTGCTGTTCTGCGAGGGTGTTAGTCTCTGTGTAAATATTGAGATCCTCAGTCTTCAATGGATCTGGCATGGCTTGAAGTGTGCGGAGAATTTTGTCCCACAGGTGTTTCTGGTAGGCGCCCATTGCAGCCTGGTAGTTCAAAATTCTAATCATTAGTGTGGCACGCAAGTAAACCTTTTTTCTGAGGGAGTAATTTTCCATCCTTCTCTATTCACAGGTGTTGTGGAGGACCTGCTATGGGATTTATATTAAGTGGCCTCTACCATAATGGAATTAGGCATAGGATGTTTGACTAAAAAGTCCGAATCTGACCCATGTGTTTTATAATGGTGCTCAATCTTTCATGGGATTTGCAGAGTCAAGGGTGAGTTATCCCAAGAGTTTCTGACAAGGTGAGGGAGCACTGGAATGAGGCTCAGACTAGGAGGAGGCGTCTTGCCCTGTACCATATCATGAAAAACTAAATCCTTTTCCTGTTGGGATATCTGCGCATCAAATTGTAAGGTCTTAGCCATGCGCAATATAAATTGAGCATATGATATATAGTCCTCTAGAGGTGATTGGGGCTGGCTATCAGTGGCACCCATACCTGGCATGTCAGATTCGCCAGAGGACAATGAATTGTTATCCTGAGATGATCGAGAGACCAGAGAGGTAGAGCGGTGTAGGCTCAGTACTGGAGCCCTTGGTATGGGTTCAGTCTCAGATTGAGTAGATGCAGAAAAAGGTTCTGTATCAAGGCCATGGGGGCCAGAGTAAAGCGTAGTAGCCTGTGCCGTAGGACAGTTCCTAGAGTAGTTAGAACGCTTGGTAGGTATGGTATACTCTGGTACCATCCCCCTTTTTCGGGATGGCTCGAATCAGTGTGTAGGAATATCCCCTCGGGCTTCCACTGGAGGAGCTGTGGAGGGGCACCATAGTGGCGGAGGGTAGGCCGGACCTCTGAAATCCTCCTGATAGGTATATCCATGGTTATGGAGGTGGATGGTATTTGTCAAAATACAGGTGACTATACTGTGGTGGACCCTCTGGATAGTAGCATTGCTGCTCTAGTCTGTAAGGCCGGTATGGGGAGGCATGTTTGCGCTTCTCTGTTCTCTTTTTTGGAGTGCATACCGGGGACTCCTGCTCAGATTCAGAGTGCATACCGGGGACTCCTGCTCAGATTCATACTCGGTATATGCCCACCCTGAAGATCGAGGATTAAGAGGGGCTACGGCTGGGCTGGAAAGTGCGTCAGCCCCAAATCGGCCCGAGCTTGGAGACATGCTTAGCACTGCATGAGACATTTGGGCTGGAGGAATGGTATGATCGCCCCTGTTCGAAAGCCCAATAGCTTCCCTTGAAGAATCCTCCACCAATATAGGAGCCATGGGAAGAGGTCTGATATTTGGCGCAGCAGCCTTCTTTTGCCTCTTAACCTTATCTTTGTCCTTTTTCTTTTTCGTAGGATCATCGGACCACGCTTCAGCCTTAGCAGAGGCAGGTTTAGGTGGCTTATGGGAGTTTTTGGATTTGGTAAGTGAAGAGGTCGTACTGGATAGAGGCTGCTCGACCCGGCTAGGAGCTGTTTTAGTAGCCTCTGGTTGAGGAAGGTTAGGTGAAGGGAGGGATGTTACCTCCATATCAGGGTTCAAAGTCTTTTCATACAGAAAGGATCTCAATTGCTGAAGCCGCAGCTTAATAGCCTGTTTAGAAAGGCTCCTGCACACGGTGCACAAATGGGTTTGATGGGATTCCCCAAGACCAAAAAGGCACTGACTGTGTCCGTCTGTTAGCGGGATCTTTCTCAGGCAAACGGAGCACGTTTTGAAGCCCCAAGGGGCCATGAAACAAAGAAAGGAATACCGGAGAAAAATTAAAAGGGGGAATCCAGGGGGGAAGGCAGGAAGGTCAGTAGAACAACAAAAAAGGCAAAAAAAAACACCTCAATGTTCTATCGCCCTAATGAGTAAAATGAATAAGAAAACAAGAAAAGGCAGATTAAAGGGAAAAATAGCTAGTATGCTAGGAATTACTTTCCTTGCTTGCTCTGATGTTCCAAACATCCTACCCAAACGGCAGAAAAAAGGGAACTGAAAGGAAGGTTGAGAAGGCGGAGCTGGCGCCTTGGGGGCGGACTAAATTGTTTCTTTTTTCTTAAGCTCTAGAATGTTCCAAACATCCTGCACAGGCACAGAACAAACCCATTTGTGTGCATTCACAGAGCCCACTACAAAGAAGTTAACCCTACTAACAACAAAGGAATTAACGAGCTTTCCAATTAATCTTTCCTCAATTTTATTTTTTGTAGCGAAGATTATTTTTACCTGTTCTTTTCCTTAAAAACACAACAAAAACAAATCAAAAACAAAAATGCAGGGTATTTTAAACACTATGGGAGTGTGGAAATGGGAGCAAGTGGAATGGCAATTGCATATAACACCTAGTAATGAGCTTGCAAGGCAACGGTTGCATTGTTAACACAGGAAATGAGCATTCAAGATATTAATAATATTAACATCTTCCTCTCCTCACCTATATCCACCCCGTTGCAGCCTTCTATGGTGCCAACAAACCAGCTAAACTAGGTTCCTTACCCTCAAGAAAATGTTTCAAGGGTGCACAGGGGGCTGCACAGGTGTGTTTTGTTGGTGGTGTTAGTTTTTTTTAAATTTCCTCCACAATTTTGGAAGAGACAATGGGATTCTGGAAAAATACACCACTGGCATCTAGCTAAAATAGTTAATTTGTACAGCATGACCACAGTGCTATGACATCTACCCCAAACTACTATTATCCTTCTACATATGTTTTTGTGAAGAAACCTAAATCAAAGTCTTCTGTATATTTTAATTCATTTTTATTTTATTTTGTTAATGTGTTTCTTGTACTGCACCAAGTAGAATTCACTTTCCATGAAGCTTATTTACTCATTACGGAGCAATTACATTCTCTTTCATAAAGAACGTACAAGCAGAACATGCAACTCATACAGTTAACACGGACACTGCTCATTATCGACACTGTAAAACAATCATAAAGACTTTTAAGTTATTGATCATCTGTCTTCTAATCAGTGTATCATAAGGCCTTGATCTAGCTCTCTTTCTGAAGGTACTGAAAGAAAAGCATAGTTTTCCTAAGTGAAAGGTAACTTAACAATTAAATAAAAAAAGTTACCAAGTATTTTACAGAAGTCATTTTCCCCTTCCTGTAATCTAAAAGACTGTTATCTCCCTTTATGAGCTTGCCTGAGTATTAAGATAACCAGGAGAGGCTTTTCTCTTGGTCCCACCACTCTCACAGAAATAATTTGTGGGGACATGGTCTTCTCTGTTGATGCCCCCGTCTCTGGAACTTCCACCCACATGAGGCCAGGCCAGCCCTATCTTTACTGTCCTTCTGCAAGCAAAAGAAGACCCTTCTCTTCAGGCGGGCTTGTTTTTAAATTACTGGTTGACAAAGGTTTTTTTAAAAGGGATTATTGTATTCTGTTCTTTTAATTGTGCTTTTAATATTAATCATTTTTATAAGTTTTAATATGTTTGTTTAATTCTTTTTAAATACTGTAAAAATTTATTACTTTAACTTTTAACTTTATTTCTTTTAATACTGTAAGCCACCTTTTAGGAGAAAGGCAGCATATAAATATTTTAGATAAATACATACATAATAAATTAATTTTCTTGTTTGCCAATCTGAAGACTTGAATACAGGCACTCCTCACATAATGACCTACCTTTTTCATGAAAGCTTGGATTTACAACCCTTTACTATCATCGTAAATGTGTGCTTGCATCTTCCCCACACCCCTTCTCAATTATTTATTACTGCTGTATACAGTATTATTGTTCCTCACTTATCGACCAATTCACAAAATGACCTAGTCGCAGGAACGGAATTTGAACTTGGTCATTAAGTGAGGAGTGCGTGTACAGACTATCACTGTATTACAGCACGCCTTCAAAAATTAAGAGCACCTAGCTTGTAAAAAGATACGCTGGTGGTATTTTTAGTTGTCTGGAATTCTCACTGCTAGAAGAAAAAAACGCGCTGGCTCATATAGCCACAGACATAAAACTGAGATAGGTTCCTTTGTCTTTTCTTCCATCATCCCTTTGCCTGTGATTTCTACATTGCGTCTGGGTCCACAGCAAACCAAAGTTCAACTGCTTCAAATGAAACATCTTTTTATGAGAAAGTGGAAATGCAGAAATCACACTGCAAAAGGGGAAGAGAAAGCATGTAAGCCCAGCATTGATGCCTGCTCAGTTACCTAATATTATACCATGGTTTAACACTATATACTATTAGAGTAATTTGGGGTTTCTCCTTAAAAAACAAAAGTAATTTTGCCTATAAATTGTAATGTAAAACAAAACAGAACAAAACAACTCAGTAGTGCTTTTTTATCACATTTAGCACAGGGGATGGGGTACCTGGAGGCACACTCTCTGGCAGTAAAGCCTTTCCGTATCAGCCATAGTAATTGACTGGAGGGAGATATTTTAATTAATAAAATCTTAGGAGGTTTATGCATTGATCCAGTTACTCAATTCGCCAGTTAAAATTTACTTTATTTTAGTAACTTCATAAGATGTGGACCTCTTCTAACAAAAATCTGCAGCGTTGAGTATGCACCACAAATCTCAAAATACTGATTTACCAATTTAATTGTTCATAGTAGCTGGAAAAGATTTCCATCATTTCCTGAGATTTAGGAGCTTTTACTATATTTGTGTTACTGAACGTGGTGTAGTTGCAGGAAACTCTTAAATAATTGGGTAAAACTATTACCACATAAATAAATAAATAAATAAATAATTGGGTAAAACTATTACCACGATCAGACATACACAATTACTATAGATAACTTTGTTAGCACAACTAATAACAGTTCACCAGATTGTTTTGAGTTTAATAGTTTTGGGGACAACTGTCAAATTTTCAGATGAAAAAACAGCTATTAAGGAGAAACCTTCCTTCACACTAATGTACATTATAGTTCAGATAAAGAAGCTGTTCTTCATAGTTCGCATAGAAGACAGAAACTATCACTCAGAAGAAGAAATGATCACATGTTACAGCGTGATTCAGTGTAACAATAAAACAGGAACAAAAAACATTATAGTAAAACAACATGAAAAAATATTGAGGGAGTAATCTTACCCCATGAGGTTAAGAACTCTGCAGCATATCTATAAATGCGGTTCAGAACTTCAATCACAACAGCGTAAATTATGCTGGGCACGTATAACAGCAAGCTGCTAAAGTCAGATTGGTTCTCTTCATGATACAAATGTGCCTGGTATTCCAAGTCAAAGTAAATCATCATTACGTAAAGTGAGAGGTAGAGGCAAAGGCACACAAATGGTAATGAAACCAGATAAATTCTTAATTGTCTTTTGAAGCTTGAGTATACTGGCTCCTCTCTTCCAGTCACAGGATTGACACCTAAAACCCCATGAAACCCTGGTCTAGGTTCCTCAAACTGTCGCTTCATCAATAGTGTGCCCCATCTGTAGGCCATAATGGCACAACACCGTTTCCATAGTTCAAGAATAACAGTAGACCAAACGAGATTGAATCCTGCGAATAGCACATACTTGTCATAGTCTTCCCAATCAAAGATGTAATAAGGAATCCCAATGATAGCCATTGGAATCAAAGCAAATGTAATATACTCCAAAAATGCAAAGTAGAAGGCAATTGTTTCACCAAAATAGCAGCGGATTTCATCTGTGAAAATAAAAGACGATCAATTTAATCATCACATTCAGAAAATCTGTCTCACATAATTTGTTACAGGGTGCTTTAACATACAGTACTATTACATTCTATTATATATCAAAGCACCTGGCATCAAATGGGTTGGAGTGGCTTTAGCATGAAAAACTAAATATGCAGCTGCCAGAATTGTAGGCATTGTGTTTGCCTTGCCCAGCTATGGTTGCAAAGACACCTATGCATGACTGCTACCATGATACACTGGTACAGCCACCTGAGGCTTTCATCTTCCCTCCCCCAGATGGTGTCTTACAGCAAAAAGGGGGAGAACAGTTTTGTAAATCTGTCCCTCCATATATGCCTTCCTGACTCCAAACTTTATTAACTGTGAACCAACACACCAGTTAGGGAAATCAGCTATCTAATGCTTGAAAACAATATTGTAGGGCAAAACCACTTAATTTAGATTAAATGAAATTAATTAAAATACCTTAAGAACTAAAGAAGCCCCAACTGCATGGCCCTTATGTGTGCATGATATATTTCAGAGGTAAAGGTTTGATGAAGTACTAGGTTTGAAGAAGTACCACGGCAGAAGATTGAAGGCCAAGAAATCACAAAACATAAAATGAAAAAAGTAGAACACTTTGGTCAAGTAACAGCTGTAATCTTTACTGAAATACAGTATTCCCAAAGAATGACCAGCAATTGCTGGATTGACCGATTACATCAGTACTGGCAAGGAAAAGAGCCAATAAAGAGCCCAGCAAGCCAATAGATAGCCTGCTGGGCTCTTATGAGGCCAGCCACAAGAACTTGTCCAAAACAAGTGACCACTGGAAACTTCCAGCAAAACCGTCTCCTTGTAACTGCATACTGGCTGAGGATACTGGGCCATCACAAGACTCAGATAGGCCCCCCCTTGCCATGTCTGTTGTCCAGTGTGATACCCAGCTAGTGTGCTGGGTTCATGATAGCACAACCTCACTTCTCTGCAAGGGGGGAAATAATCTGTGTATCAGCAAGTTGGTGATAATTTAGAGAACATCAAAGGAGGCCATAACATCCAACTCCACCTGGCCAGCTACCCATTCATAACTCCCCACTGATTGGCTATTGCTTAAATACAGCTTTACTAAATTTTTCCAATACACCTCACATTAAAGATTGGTCTACAGTTGATCAATGGTCCCTATGATTGTGATAAACTTGTACAATCCAGATCACAACATGTCAAAAAAGGAATCCCTTCTCTTTTTCCAGTGACACCAACTTACCTAAAGGCTGGTAGCTAAATTTCAGTCGTCCATACCAGGTATGCCTAAGTTTCTTTAATTCATCTGTGTCATGAAGTGGGAAAGCCTGAATTAGAATACCACTAGTCATTAGCCTTCGCACTGAAAGAAAAGCAAAACATACATGTTAATTCTGCTGTTTGTTTCTTAACAGAAACACAGTGCACCAAATGGTTATCTGAATAACATTTTTAAAACCTTACTGAAGACTAGCCTTATTATAAACAAGGCTATATAAATTAAATTAAGTTGCTATAGACTTCTTCCCTAAGGACATTCCATTTGAAATAACCTGGTAAAACAATACACACATAAGTATCGCATCACATTCATTTGTTCACCTGATGTTCCAAGACAAGATACATGTGGAGGATTGCAACCTCCTCCCAAGCCCCCACCCTTCAATTTCTTTTCTTACAAAATGTTCATCTGAAAAATCCCCTTGTGCCCTTTTGTGGGATTTTTAAAAAACATTTCAAATAAAAACTAGGGGCCCTGGATGAAGGGCACCACTTCAAAACGTGGAAGAACTGTCTCCCACTATCCTAAAGGATACATCAGGACTTCCTGAACCTTTTTTCTTTCCTTTTTTCTTTTAGAAAGGGAGTCTAGATGGGCCAAGGTGTGCTAGGTGATTACACTTGCACCCCAGCAGCCACATGCAGTTAGTGGACTGCATGTCACCCATTTCTTAGCTAGATTGAAGACCAAGGCCCACTATCAGCATTCTTAAATTCACAACTGATATGTCACAACTAGTAAATGTTTCAATTACAAAGCACTGCACCTTCATAAAAATGTGCATGCTTTTCCTAGCATTCATTCCTCCACTATAACATCTGAAGTTGATATTATTGAGCGACTTACAGATGAAATCCAGAAGCAGATTAAAAACAGATATACAAAGCTACTTACTAATTGACTTTCCTGGATAAAGTTTTGCCTGAGGATAGCCAGGGATCATTGTTTCATCTTTGGCTCTTAGGTTTTCAAGTTCGTGTTTGATGATGTACTGACATTCTGCCATTGTAAGGAAATCATGATTGTCCTCTAAACCAGAAATAAATGTTATTATTGAATATTGCCTTATTTTAAAATATCCATAAAATTAATCACTTGCATTTCAGAGCCACTGTAAGTCATCAATGAGAGAGGCTTCTTAAGGAAGTATCTAACATGTTGTACTATGAAATATACTTTATCTCATGCATTTGATAGGGGAAGCCTACTGCTTGACTTCCAAGATAATATCTGTAGAGGGTGGAAGCTGGACAATGGCACCACATCATGTTTCTTCCTGTCATTCATTTCTCTTTGGATATTACACCTATCCTCCTATTGCATTGTAGAAGACACAACTGCCTTGGATTCTAAATAAATAAATAAATAAATAACCAAGCCATCAGTCCTGACATTCTGCAAGTATTGGCACAAAAATAAAGCCTAACAAGAGTGCAACTGGAGAGGGAGACTGCCCCCAGGTTGATCTGGGTCAATTCAAAGTTTCCCATAGCAGTTAAATCACTGTTGTCATTCACATAGAATATTTAACTATCCCAAGCATTCTGGCCACAAGAGTCCACACCACACTTCAAATCACTAGACTGTTCACCAAGGTCATAGGGAACCCACCTTCCTTTGTCATTAACTTTTTTCAGCAAGTGACATGGCATAGAATTGATATAAGAACTCGTAAAGCTACAGTTCTTAACCAACATACAGTATTGCTGAATTGGAAAGACATGATAAAAAACTGTTTGGAGGAGAGATCAGAGACACTTACTTGAGAAGGATGTTCCTGCTGTATTGGCATATGTTGTAGGGGTTCAAACTGCAATTTAGAGCTGTTAGTAGAGATGGGGACAAAGCACCAAAGTGGTGCTTCATCTTGGTTCGTGGGTCGTCAAACTTGACAAACCATGAATTGCCCCCCAGTGGCCCGACAAACCAAGAATCATTTCGTCGGTTCGGCGGTCATTTTTTTTTAGACAGCCCATGGGGGTCTAAATACAGTATAAATACAGTATCTCTCATGGCTCCCAATTGCTGAATTTGTCCAGCTGGATAAACTTGAAGTGACTCTTTACCACATCTATGATAAAACTTAGGTAAAAGAAGCAAAGACAGGTTTGCTGAACATCCTTCAATATCTGATCTAAGGAGGATGATACGATCAGAAGATAATGCAATTGGAGATAAACTTGATTTCTTCTAGTCCTCAAGTATACTACAAGAGCCACCACAAGTTTCAAGAGGAGGAGGAACGATGAAGGACAGAGGTTGATACTGTTAGTGATTGCCTTGATACACAAAACAGAGAAACTTCCTGTGGGATGGGTGGATTGGTATGCAGGCATACCTCCCTCAAATTTATAAAGGCTAAACATTTGTCCACATGAGTATCTTCCAGGACCATTCTGTATTTCCATACAGAATCTATATTTTTTCACATACCAGTTCTCCCATTTCAGATGTATAATGACCTTCCAATCCTTACTGCTTTGAAGCATAAGAAACAATAACAAGAAGAACCCTGAGAATGTTTCAGCCAGCAATACTGGTTCTACCGCCCATATTAGAGTTGCTAGTAAGTCACTTCTGACTTAAGGGCACATAAGTGTCAGGCTAGCACTATTTAAACTCTGTGCAGCAATGCCAAAAAATCCCCTGCAGCAAAAATACACACGTTGTGACTCTGGAGGCAGTTGTTCCCCATTGTCCAAAGAGCACTCTCCTTTACCTTAATAGAGGGCAATGGAAAACTGTAATTTCCTTACAATCAGAGCACCTCATGTCAGCCAGGGATTCCAGTCCTGCGGGGGAGGCAGAAGGGAGTGTCTGTTCCTCCACTCTGTGGCACTTGACCAGAGGCCCTAATGAGCCCTGGCTACCTAGGGTTGGGTAAGGGTCATTATCAACCAAACAGTATAATGTCCCCAGTTCCCCCAAGAACTGAGAGGAAGCATTCTCAGATGGGAAAAGGCAGTCAAACATTGACTGACAAATTTGACCAAGGAATGAGTAGAAGCAACGAACTCTACAGTATTCTGCACCACTGCAGGAACATTTAAGTTTAAACAAAGAGGGTGGGAAAACATCATGTTAAAGCAGAATCACATTCCATATATCAGAATTACACACAGAGAAAGTTCAACAAACAAAACAGTTTTATATAATTGTTTTTGGATTATCCCTAATAAACCCTAATATAGATTGATTTACCTGCAAAATCCTTGAAGTTTTTTCTAGTACTATATGTAAAGGCTCTCATTGTATTATCATTGCATTCTTTTACCAACCCCACTGCTTCAGCTCCTAGAAGCAATCTCACGTGGGACGCTCCAACAAGATATATGTTCTTGCTTCCTTCAATTTCTCTCCCACCTTCCACCAAGGGTTTAACCAAAAGCTGTGCTCCTTCAAAGTAAGGCAAAATATTAGAATCAGCATTTTTAAGGTAAGTTTGTAAAGCAGTTATATTTTCTGCCAAATACATAGAGTTATAGACTCATGCATTGGAGAGGTTCATGGTAAGAGTCCCATCACCTAAGGGGCTACAGCAGCAGCCCTAGAACCACCAAGCACATTTGTATTAAAAGTTAAATGAATAAAAGAAAAAGTCAAGGACAACTGGTTTCCATGGAAGTGAGTTATGCACAGGTTTCAGCTCTGCCACTTCAAATATCAGGAACTTATGTTTGGCTGGATGATAGCTACAGAGTGAAAACTTTGAAAACATAAACAGAATGCAACATTCAAAGTAAATATCATATTATAACCCCAATTACAAATGAGGTTTCTGTGTTTTAAAGTGTGTGGGGGCAAACACTTCAGGAGGTAGAAATTGAGAGCAGAGGGGCAATGGGAGATGGAGGTGTTTGACAAATGGTGAAAAGGATCAAGCACTCTTTTGCATCTTCTCCTCTACTGTACCTCTCTCTCAAATATAGCCATTGGGGCATAGTTAAAAACAAGCCATCAAAACTTACTTAAGACACAAGCAGAGTAAGGATGTAGAGAGGTTACCTACCTGTAACCATGGTTTTTTTAGTGGTCCTCTGTGAATCCACACAAATGGATTCACAAATGGATGCACAGGGCATCTCGGAAGTTTCTAGAGCTTAAAAACATGTGATTAGTAGGACGTTTCCCCATGGAGCACATGCTCCGCCCGAACAAGGTCCTCTCAGTTCCCAAAGTCCGCGGCTGTTAAAAAGATTAGATAAAGACAACAGAGTGACGGATAGAGGGGAGGATGGGCAGGATGTGTAGATTCACAGAGGACCACTCGAAGAACCATGGTTACAGGTAGGTAACATCTCTTTCTTCTTCATGGCATCTGTGAATGCACACAATTGGGTGACTGACAAGCTCACTTACCGGTTGGTGGGCTGTACCCACCAACCGGTAAGCTCTCCCAAACCGGGCATCATTCTTTGCTCGAACATCCAACCTGTAGTGTGAGATGAAGGTGGATGGATTGGACCATCTGGCCACCTGACAGATGTTGGAAATGTTCACACCACGCTGAAATGCAGTAGAGGTAGCCATATCTCTTGTGGAGTGGGCCTTAGTGGTGTCAGGAGGCTCTTTCCCTGTGAGTTCATCAGTCAGGGAGATGGCTTGAACTATCCATTGAGACAAAATCTGCGATGATGCTGGAGAGCCTTTATGAGGTCCATGAAACCAAATGAAGAACCAAGGAGATGCCCTGACTTGCTAGCCACCCATTTGTGCAAGAGCGCGATGAACGTCTGAAGTGTGGAACATGTGCTCAAGATCAGAAGTCGGTGAAGGAAAGAGAGATGGTAAGATGATAGGTTGACTCAAATGAAAATCAGATACTACCTTACGGGTGAATGAGACATCTGGATAAAGTGTGACTTTGTTAAGATGGAATTGTATGTATGGAGAGTCACATCTGAGAGCAGAAAGTTCACTCGCTCAACAAGCTGAGGTGATGGCTACCAGGAAAAGAGTCTTCAATGAAAGAAGTTTGAAATTAGTGGAAGCCATGGGTTCAGTTGGTGGTTTGGTGAGAGCATTCAGAACGGTTTGGAGAGACCACTGAAGAAGTGGAGGTCGCTCTGGAGGGCGAATATTGTGAAGTCCTTTTAAAAATCTTTTCAAGGTTGGATGAGAGGACATTTTCGCTGATTCTGCATCTGGTGGTTGATGAGCTATAATTGCAGTGATATAAACTCTGAGAGTGGCTTGAGAGAGTCCCAGGTTGAAAAGGTGTAAAAGATAATTAAGCAATGTATCTAGAGAAGTTGGGGAGGCTGAAAGATTTTTAGAGGTAGCATAGGTAGAGAAAGACTTCCATTTATAATTATAAAGAATTTGTGTGGATGGCTTCCGAGCTCTACTAATGATGGCTGCTGTGGGGGAAGAATCCCCCATGCTGTAAGTTTGAGGGACGTTAGGTCTGGGTGAGAAATCTTGCCATCGTCCTGAGAAAGCAGGTTCGGGATGTTGGGGAGGCGGAGGAAAGGGGTTGACATCAACTTGAGGTGTGTAAACCACGGCTGTCGAGGCCACCAAGGGGCGATCAGAATTGCATCAGCGTGGAACTGGCGAATTCTAATTATGGTTATCTGGATGAGAGGGATTGGGGAAAATAGGTAGAGAAGATGATTTACCCAATCGATCATGAAGGTGCCCCCAATTGAATTGGTGCCGATCCCAGAACGGGAGCAGTATTGACTGCACTTCATGTTGTTTGCTGTTGCAAAGACGTTGATGAGTGGTTCTCCTCAATCGTGGCAAATTTGAGTGAAGATGGAGTCGTTGAGTACCAATTCGTGATTTAATACTGTGAGGCAACTGAGGTGCTCAGCTAAAATGTTGTCCTCTCTGGCAATGTGAACCGCGATTGGAAATACATGGTGGAGACAGCACCATTCCCAAAGACAAAATACCAGAAACAGGAGCAAAATGGAGTGTGTACCGCCTTGCTGGTTCACCTAGTACATAGCTGTTGTGTTGTCCGTTGCAAGTTGGACAGCTCAACCTGAGATCAAATGTTGAAAGGCTCTGAAGGCTTTGATTATTGCTAAGATTTCTTGCTGATCGATGTGTACTGATTGTTCTTTCTTTGACCACAAGGCATGGATTCTGTGGTCTTGGCAGTGTGCTCCCCATCCTAGAGGACTGGCATCAGTAGTAACCTGGATAGTGAGCTGGAGAGGTGTGAAAGGTCGGCCAATGAGGAGGTTCGGGACAAAGGTCCACCAAGTAAGTTGTTGGGTAAGTTGGAGTTACCCTGAGATGTTTTTCCGAATGGTCTATGAGTGGGTTGAAAAGAGAAAGGTACCATGCTTGAAGATATTGCATTTTGAGTCTGGAGTGTTGAATCACAGAAGTAGTGGAGGCCATGAGACCTAGTAGATGTTGAGCCTGGTGTGCAGAAACCAAAGTGTGCGGTCGAAGTGTCAAACTGCTAATTTTAACTTTTTTAGTCGGTCTGAAGGAAGGAAGGCTCAGGCTTTGGGGGAATCAAGGTAGGCACCAATGTATTTGGTTGTTTGTGAAGGCTCGAGATGAGACTTGGAGAACTTGACTTTGAGACCAAGGCACTGTAAGGTATTGAGAGTGGTAAATCTTCGATTTGCTGGACCGCTGGACAACTGGACCAGTCGTATCCCACACGCTGGACACCAATCAATGTGACAAACCCAGACCTACTGGGATCTGCCACACGTTAACTAAGCTGCCACCAACCATTCCCTATAAGAAGTCACACAGACCAGGGATGGATTTTTAACCAATAAAAGAATAAGGTTTATTTAAATACAACACACAGGGAAAATAAAATGATCAGGTGAATAAGATAAAGTAACGTGGCTTATTCTCATTCATACATGCATACAGTTTGGTTCACACAGAACCCTTAACTTGAAGCACAGACTCTGAACCTATCAGTTCTGGCTAACCAACAGACACCTGAACCTATCAGGTTGGTACTGACACACAGTAGTACCCTGTCTGACACACAGACTCCCACACCAGCTTCTTCTTCCCAGCTGCTGCCTCTTCACATCCCAGCGTCTCCACTTCTCCACACACGCATCACATATATATACAGTACAGCCCCTCCTCCTGATGTCCCGCCTTCCACTCCCCATAGGATGGAACTTTCCCTCCAAACCCATGACAGACAGGTAACATCAGTGCTGTATGTAACACTCATAACGAGTTGGGAATAGGAGGTGAAATCCTCTGATGAAGGAGGGTGGTTGTCAGCCACATCCGATCCAGGGTAGGTATGTTTGATGGAGATTCCTGAGAGATACTGGAGTGGAGAATATTGATCTGTTGAAGATGAAGTGGAGGGAGAGGCAGGTTGGTTAGGTCTGATCTATTGATCTGTTGAAGATGAAGTGGAGGGAAAGGCAGGTTGGTTAGGTCTGATTGGTTGAGATCTGCCGGGATCAGAGGGAGGAGGTGCTGGCCCTTTGTAAGTAGTGGTGGCTTAAACTGAGGGTTGATGATGTTGCGATACCGATGGTAGTATAGGCTCATATCAAGATCATTTCCATGTTGAATGTTCAGGTCGTTTCAATGTTGAATGTTCTGGTAAGGTGTCATGACATTTATAAGATGGTTTTGAGGAAGCGATTTGTTCAGAAGGCGGAGCGTGTGAAGAAGGTTTATAATGTTCGTGTCGAGGTGGAGACGGGAATGCCAAAGGAGAATGTCGTGCTTGGTACGGTATTGTATAGCGTACCCTCTTAGGCTTGTCGTAGGGGACCTGTTCAGGCATGTCCTCTTGGATATGTGTGTCATAGGATGGGTAATATGGAACACCTCAGTTGCCTCGTTTGCAATACCAAGCTTGGTAGTGGTATCGAGGGAGTTCATAATGGTAATGAGGTGGCTCCTGATGAGAAAAAAGGGTGAGGTACAGAGTACCGATTTGAAAAAAGTTGCTCTAGCGGTCCGATATAGGTCTAACCTACACGGCAGCTAAAGTTGAACTGAGAGGACCTTGGGTGGGTGGAGCATGTGCTCCACGAGGGAATGTCCTACTAATCATGTGTTTTTAAGCTCTAGAAACCTCCAAGATGTCCAGCACAGGTGAGGAACAACCCTTTTGTGTACATTCACAGAGGCCATGAAGAAGAACCTTCTATTTTCTTTCACATTATGTAACAAAATATGGAACGCCGTAGTTGCCTCGTTTGCGATACCAAACTTGGTAACAAAACAAAATCTGCAGTCCTTTCATACTTCCCCAGGATAGGATGTCGCAGAGCTCAAAACTGAGGGAAACAACCGAACATTTACTTCTGGTTTTTATTTTTAATGATTTGTTGTTTATCTAGGAGAGCTAAAGGAGGCAAAGCAGAGCAGGCAGACAACCCAACAAACAGTATTTATCCTCACTGATTCCTTAAAGAAAAAAGCATGCAATTTCAACAAATGTCAAAACTCAGATTGTATTTACTCCATAGGTCCATTGAAAACTGTTTTTCTTCCTTTTCTGCCACATACATGCGGTTACCACTAGTTAGAGGCTGGTAGCTTGTTTTTTCAAAATATACAGTACTTTGTTTCTAGTGCTGCTCTTCACATTTATCTTTTAAAACACAATTTTGCCATTGCCAGAAAATGAACTAATTTTGTGCTGTTTTACTGCCTAGCAAATTAGTTTTTTATATATCAATACTTATATGGAAATGATAAAAACCTTTAAAAACCAGAGAATTTTGTAAAATTCAGAGCATCTACCTCCATTTTTCTTCTTCTCCACAATCTTTTTTGTTAGCCATTCCTTGGTTTCATCTTTGGTGTCTTCTGAAAGCTCAACTACCACCAAAGGTCTGAAATTTGCTTCAAATGTGTCATATGCAGACCAACTTATCTTCATCTTCTGGACAACTAAACAACTGAAAAAGTAAAATGGCAAAAGAGAAAAACATTCAGCAATATCCTGTTTCGTACATATGCTACTGTTGGTGTGCACAGAAAAGAAATGTTCACCTTCAACCTCTGAAGAGTGTTTTCCAGTATTTCTACATACTTTCTGCCAGTCTATAAAATTCAACGGCATTCTATATAAAGTTCAGCATGTAGAAACTGCATTGTTAAAAAAGTCTATGCTAGTCCTTTTTTTCTAATACACAATGAGGTTTGAGCAAATCAAGTGAACATGCACAACAGTTTCTCTACTTGCTATCTAGCTAACAATATGACCTGCTGACTAGCTTTCATTTACAGAAGGTAAAAAGGGTAGCTTCAACCAAGCATATCTTATAAGAAGCAAATCCCCAGAGCAAAGGGTTACTCTATATTTTAGGCTGGGGAATTGGATTGATGCAGAGGGGCTGATTGCTACCCCTACCCACACAGTGAAATTTGGTGCAATCCAGCCTGTGCTTAAACAGTAATTTCTTCAATGCAATCGATTTTAACTCTCAAGCTAGCTATCCTTCCATCCACACCAGAGATTGTGCTGTGGGCTGTCTTCTTGATTTATATCAATCCAATCTGTCCCTGTTTCAAGTACTATGGCACTCCCCTTCCCACCCCTTCAATTACTGACACTCCCCTTCCTGCCCTTTCCCTGCCTATTTTTGTTTCGGCCATTTATGATATTTTTTTCTTAAAAATTCAGAGGCACAGCATTACAGCAATGTATCTGCCTAACATGGTAGACATTATTTTATATTTCAGGGCATTACTAACAAATTTCCATTGATTACTTTGCAGATAAATAATTTCTTGTAGGCGTGTCTGCTTTCACATTATTCATTGCACTGGCAAAGTACTGTTAGGTCTTGTGCCATCAAAATAATATAGCTTTGCAGCATAGTTTCATAGTGAAGAGCCCATATTAGTTTATCCACCAATGCCCTGGTGGCAGTTTTGAGCACCCAGTCTATAGGTGAAGATGGCATGATGGCTGGGACTGTGTTGTTTGCTGCATTTTCTGGACGGTACTTTGGAGAAAGTTGTTTCTGCCAATTAACTGTTAATGTGGTGGACGTATGGCCCAGATGGAAAATCAACAATGGATCGTTCTAAGTAGAAACATGTGCGAACAAGATCTTTCAATCCAAACAGTGCCAACAACTGTGCCAATGAAGTGTGGACAAATGCTGGATAGCTCAGTGGTTTAGGCATCTGGCTGAGAAGTTGGAGGTTGGGAGTCTGATTCCACACTTGACAGAGACCGGACTCAATTATCCAGAGGGTTCTTTCCAGCTCTGCAGTTCTAAGATTATTATTATATTATCCTAAGATTATAATGTCATGTTATGGCCTCTTCCCTCCAGGCTGTAACATCACCTGCCTCAATCTATTTTGTCTTCCTATTGTAGTGCTTCTTTCTGCAAATACAGATATTCCGCTAGTGCCTAGAGGCACTATGCAAAATGTGCTGCAGCTTTGCCCATTACAGTGGTGCCTCGCTTAGCAAGTGCTCCTTTTAGCGACGAAATCGCTTTGCGGCGAACTTTTTGTGATCGCTTTGCGATGTTCCCTATGGGGGGATTTTGCTTTGCGATGATCAGTTCCCTGCTTCGGGAACCGGTCATCGCAAAGCGACCGTTTTTGCACAGCTGACTGGCGGTTTCAAAATGGCCACCAGGTAAACAAAATGGCCGCCCACTGTTTTCTGGGACGGATTCCTCGCTTAAAAGACACCGAAAATGGCCGCGCTATGGAGGATCTTCGCTGACCGGTGAGTTTTAAGCCCCTAGGAACGCATTAATCAGGTTTTAATGCGTTTCGATGGGCTTTTTAATATCGCATAGCGACGTTTTCGTTCAACAGCAATTTTTGCAGAACAAATTAACGTCGCAATGCGAGGCACCACTGTATTCTTCATTCTAGTGAGGCCAGTGTATACAGAAAGCAAAAGGACTGAGGTGTCCTAGGAAAAGCAGCTCCTCCAAACTTTCTATTCTTTATATCAGAGCTATAACTGGCAGGAAAAGAGTGGCAGTGACTAAGTCACACATTCACATGTGACTTAACTGCTCTCACACCCCTTCTGATGTCTAGGCTTCAAGGAAAGAGCCTGCCCACCAACCCTTCTGATGTCTAGGCTTCAAGGAAAGAGCCTTCTGATGTCTAGGCTTCAAGGAAAGGCCTATGAGCCAAACGGACCATAGCTGTAGGCTAAATCCGAGCCAAACAATGGTTTCCTTTTCTCATATCACACAGGATTGTACACAGCACAATTCTAAACATACTTATTGATAAGTAATTGCCACTGTTCAACAGGGTCTTACAGCTGATGTCTAGGCTTCAAGGAAAGAGCCTTCTGATGTCTAGGCTTCAAGGAAAGGCCTATGAGCCAAACGGACCATAGCTGTAGGCTAAATCCGAGCCAAACAATGGTTTCCTTTTCTCATATCACACAGGATTGTACACAGCACAATTCTAAACATACTTATTGATAAGTAATTGCCACTGTTCAACAGGGTCTTACAGCCAGATAAATGGACAGGAGATTGTAATATAAAACTGCATCTGTAGGATTATGATGTTAGAAAATTACTATGTTTACCTTAATCTTTAAAGTACACACATATGCAGCCCAACAAATATCTTCAATGTTTCATAATTCAAGTTTGAATTATGTGCTAATGCTTTAGCTGGCACTTTCCACTGTCAGCATTTATGGCCAGGTCATACATGAATCACTTGCATGCCCTCCCTTAGCTAATATGTATAATGGTGACAGATATCTAAACTGAATTAGTATGCTGCCTTTTCTAACATGTATATATAAAGTGGCATGCACTAATGTTGCAGTACAAATAGCAATAACATTTGGTGAATACAGTGGTGCCTCGCTTAACGAGCGCACCGTATAACGACGAAATCGCATAGCGATCCGCTTTTTTGGATCGCTAATGCGATCGCTTAACGATGGTCCCTGTGGCCGAAAATCGCTTTGCGAAGATCAGCTGTTCGGCGATTTCAAAATGGCCGCCGGAAGCCCCAAAATGGCCGCGCACAGCGTTTTCGCGCCCTGCCCTCGCTTACCGAGGGCGCGAAAATGGCTGCCGGACCGGGATGCATCGCTGAACGGTGAGTTTTTGCCCATTTGGAACGCATTAAACGATGTTTAATGCGTTCCAATGGGCTTTCCCGTCCCGCTCAGCGATGTTTCGCCATAGCGAAGGTTAATCCGGCACGGATTAACCTCGCTATGCGAGGCACCACTGTACTCGTTCTGAATTAGGCTGTAAACATATATGCAAAAGTAGCCAAGCTACTGACTAGGGCCAGCTACAGGGAGCATATAATGCACCTGTTACAATAACTGCACTGGCTACCAGTCCGTTCTTCGGCTCAATTCAAAGTGTTAGTCATTACCTATAAAGCCCTATACAGCTTAGGTCCAGGATACCTGAAAGACCATATCTCCCTATATGCACCTTTTCGGTGATTAGGTTCAGTAGAGAAGACCCTCCTCTAGGTCCCATTGCCAGCACAAGCACAGCTGATGGGGACACGGGAGAGGGCCTTCTCTGTGGCAGCTCCCAGGCTATGGAACGCTCTCCCTCGGGAGATCGGGATGGCCCCTTCTCTGTCATCCTTCCGAAAAAAGCTAAAGACCCATCTCTTCAGGCAGGCTTTTAACAGTTATAATTGAATCTCTGAATCCCATTTCAGCAGAAATTTTAATCTCTTTTATGTTTTCATGCTTTAATCTTTTAATTGTATTTTAAATCATATATTGTTTAATTTATCTTTTAATATTTAACATACTGTTTTTAAATTGTGTGAATAAATGAAAGAAAGAAAGAAAGAAAGAAAGAAAGAAAGAAAGAAAGAAAGAAAGAAAGAAAGAAAGAAAGAAAGAAAGAAAGAAAGAAAGAAAGAAAGAAAGAAAGAAAGAAAGAAAGAAAGACAGACAGACAGACAGACAGACAGACAGACAGACAGACATTCAGGGGAAGTTTTAATAAATTTGTTCTTCAAGAAAAAACTGCTTCTCCCTATAGTTCTTTCCCCCCTGATCATCAATGAGGATGATTCTGGTCAGTTTCTCTCATGATGCAGCAATACTGATGGTGTAAAAAAATACATAAGCTTGGAGACAAGCAAGCAAAAATTAAATGAGGACTAAAGCAGTAGGTTTATGCCACCACGTCCCTTCTATATACACACACCCAGAGGTAATTCCATTAAATTCAGTCAGGCACACTTTTGAGAAGACTTTTATAGTGGGCTTCACTAGATGGGCAGTATAAAAATTTAATAAATTAATTCTACAAAACTGCACTACAAATTACTCAGGAAACCAACATTGCATTTTAAATTTTAACTACTGTATGCCAGTGTCTGTAAAAATCCTAAACCTACCGTATTTTTCGCTCCATAAGACGCACCTTTCCATAAGACGCACCAATTTTTTAGGAGAAGAAAACAGGAAAATATAATCTGTTTTCTTCACTCCATAAGACGCACAGACTTTCCACCCCCCTGTTTTGTGGGGGGAAAGTGTGTCTTATGGTAGGAAAAAACGGTAAATATGCAAGTTTTCTATTGACTAGACCAGTAATCCACACACTTTTAATATTGTATTGAAGGCATATTTTTATACTGTGAATGACTTTTGATATGATTTAGAAATGAACTAATAGTTCCCAAAGCAAATAATGATATGAAACATTTATGATCAACTATTTCATACTATGCTTTTGCCATGTTATGTCTCCTTCTCTTATGTCTGATGAAGTGGACTTGTTCACAAAAGCTCACATTAAAAAATATAAAAGTCTTTAAAGTGCCACTATGTTTTTGTCTTTTTTACTCTTTATTTTTATTTTATTTTTAATATATCATATCACTTCTTGATTTCTGAAATGCCTTTGATGGATATAGAAGCAAATAAAATCTAACTCTTGACAAGTTACCATGATCCTCGCGGTCCTTGCAGAACCATTCATAAGAATGAGAAACAGCTTTGAAGCAACAGCTTCAACTGACAGAATCCATGACAAAAAGGTCTTTTTAGTGTGAGGTATAATAATGACAACCATGTCAGTGCTTGGACACATTATAGAAAAGTACCTAATTGCAACATTTCACTCAATAGTTCAAGACACTAGCCCAAAACTTCCAAAAGGTAGTGATCTTCAATTTCCCTTTTTTTTCCTTTGATAATTCACACAAATGTTCATGTTAAATTAATTTTAATAAAGATATGGAAATATTTTATATTAAATTAAACTGCTGGTCTACCCAGCTCAACACTGTTTGACTCTTTCCTGACCAGCAGTGCTCTCCAAGGGTTCATTTGGTTGGCTCTTTCACAACACCCCTACCCTAGAGCTTCTGACTGAAGATGTCGGGAACTAAACGTAGTATCTTTCTGCAGAGTGCATATTCTGTCACTGCAAATGACAAGACCTTCTGAAATCAATGACACTTGCTAGTCCTTTTGAACAAGCCTCATTTATTTATCGACTTTACGTAAGGCTAAATCTGGATTCAATCCAACAGCAGGTGTTTCTCTGAAACCTAACTCCAAAAATCCTGTTCAGCTTCCACTAAAAAATCCTTAAAGTAAATTTTTAAGTCCTGCCATTTTTCCAATTGACCAAAATTACTTTTCCCTTTACTCACCCAGTTATCCCTTATTTCTTCCTTTCCATGAAACTTTCTTCCTGTTTCCCACCTCACCAAATGAGTTGCTTTTTTGTCCCCCCTCTCATCTCACACCAGCCACCTAGCTGATCTCTCTCTCTCCATCCTTCCGTTTCTTTTCTCTCTTATACTTTTCTCTGATCTTCCTCTTCCTTTGCTCAGATACTCATCCATAATTTTCTGCTGTTCACTTGCCTCCCACTGCCAGACAGCAACACCTTTCCCCTTCTACTTGTTTACAAATTCAGAGGCATTGCAGAAGGAAGCAACAGTCACTGCCAACATATTGTTTTCCTGTTCTGCCTGTGGTCCATGTGCATCCACCTAAGGCTTTCTGAAAAAATGAACATGACAGAATTGATTGCAGTCTCTCTTCACCAAATTAGGAAACTGCTACCTAGTGACTGAAGATGGTATTACAGACCACACAAAAAAATAAAATTAAGCTTACGCATGCTAAATTAAAGGTGTCTAGGGTTCATCTTCTTGGAGCTACAGCACAGACAGACATTTGTATTAACATAAATTATGAAAAGTTTGAAAAAAGAGAACAATGAGCTATTAAATATTGAAAATATATACTTAGGAAAGCCTCAAAGAAGGACTTGATTTGAACTAAAGATATCAGACCCTAACACTCAAACTAATGAATAATTAACAGTACCCCTGATCATATATAGAAAACTTTTTTACTCAATAGCCTGTGCAATTTCAATTAGAAAACAAGTTTCCAGGAAGATATCATCCCCAGCATTTCCTCTGCCAAACAAAAATAAAATACTGCTTCATCTTTATATTTCAGACAGAGAAAAATCTAAACTCTATTTTAAGACAACACTGACTATAACAAAAAGCTTTGTAGCACTTTAAAAAATAAGAATTTAATTTAATATAAGCTTTGATGGACTACAATCTACCACATAATGTATTTTCTTCCTGTTGTAACCAATGAATATAGCTATCCTGGAACTTTATTATTGCATCATATATCACTTGAAGTACAGAAAAACCAGTATTTTCTAATGATTTAATGCAGTGCTGTGCCAAGGATAATCCAGCTTTTTTATCCCCAAAGTAAAAGCACAATGGACTACAGTATTTCCTCTGCACCAGTGATGGGAAATATGTGGCCTTGTATAATTTGTTCAATGCAATTTTCATCTCTCATCACTGGCTAGGGCTGATGGGAGATGCTGAGGGTCAAAAAATTCCTCATCCCTACCCTATGCAGGAAACAGTGCCTGACATGAAAGGAAAACAACTTGATACATCTTACTATCATATGCCCAGTTTTGTACAGCTGGGAAACTTCTTAGTCCTTTCAACTCTACATAAATGCTCTTCCCTTCCCACCATAAGCACCCTCATACTGACAACTTATAAATGGGCATAGGTTCTCAATATGCATACATTGTCTGGGAAGAAAAAATATTGGTGTGCTCAGTGTATATCACATGCAGGTTTGTTTTCTCTCCCCCAAAATCTGCTTTTAAGTGCACAATTGTGTTTTATGTGCAAGAAAAAAAATGTTGCAAGGGCCCTCTCACATTTCAGCAGCAAATATAGATTTTTCCATAAAGTGCAACCTCCTCTAGGAACCACAGACAAACCTGCTTCCTGAAAAGCATGCATCTGTGACTAAAACATTTTTGAACAGGCGTTTGAATTGCACTGACAATTCACACGTCTGGAGGTGCAAGAGCGAAGTGCTTCATAACGGAGGCATCCCTGATACCCACCAGTGCACGTTTGACTTCTGTATCTGCCAGGTCATTAAAGCTCACTGAAAATCCCAAATCTGGAGTTGAGTGTGCAAATCTTAAACCCTTCGGCAATGGGCAGGCAGCACACCCACACCTACCTACCCCTGAATTCCCTTCAACTCGTTTTGGAATTGACACCTATGTAGGATCGGCTGCTTTCCCAAACTCCTTCCCTCCACCCCACCCGTGACTCTCCGCACACGTAAAACCCATGCCTGGCGCAAGGAAGGGCTCGGCCCGCTAGCCCAGAAAACGCCACGCAGGGGCCAACTCGTTCGTGTTCTCTTCCAAGGCTCAAGACTGTTGCCCTCGGGGGCCGAGAAGCCCCACCCAGGGCTGCGTAGCCGAGCCGGGCTGGGCTGAGGAAAAGCAAGGAGTGGGGCGGAGAGGGAGGAGGAGGAGGAGAAGAAGGGCAACGGCGGCGGCAAGAGACCCGCGCATTGCAAACCCCCTCAGCCGAAGGAGGAGCGAGGAGGGAGACGCCAACGAGGGAGCGGAAAGGGGAGGCCTCCAGGAAATCCAGGAGGAAAGATGGGGGCTTGCAGCACAAGCCGCCGTTCCGCGTTGCCGCCGGCCCCACGGCTTCCCTCCCTCCTTCCTTCCTTCCTTCCTTCCTCAGCCTCCCGCTTCCCGCCTCCCTCTCCACCACCACGCCCGGCGCCAACTTTCCCCACGGCTTCCCTCCCTCCTTCCTTCCTTCCTTCGCCTCCCGCTTCCCGCCTCCCTCTCCACCCCCACGCCCGGCGCCAACTTTCTCCAGACGCCCTGAAGAGCTCGCCAGGCACCTGACGGTCTCCTCTCGCCAGCCCTCCCCCCCCCAAAAAAGGGAGAGGCTGGGGGGAAAGGCGCTCGGCCCTCCTCCTCGTCGGTGCCTCAGGCTCCCCGCGGGAGAAAAGGCGCCTCTTCCTCCTCCTCTTCCCGCCGGGGCCTCCGACGCCCTCTCGCCCATTCACTCACCCTCTCCCCTCGCTTCTTCGGGTCAGCGGGAGTTAGACAGGCAGGGGCAGCCGCGCCGGCAATGGGCGGAGCCGCTCAGACCACGAGGCGGGGGGGGGGCTTCGCGTGACAGGAGGGCGGGGACTCGAGTCGCCCCGCCCCCCCTCCTGCCGCGTGGGCATCCCTACCCTCCGAGAGATACTGTACTGTCTCGATTTCGGGTTGCCCTTCCGCCGGACAATTCGTTGTGCGTTTTCCGAAGCACTAGGCTGAGTTTTCATTAGGTAACGGTTAGGGTTTCAGGCGTTAACTGTAGAAGCCAGACCGGGTACGTCTTACGGAAGCACGCGTGCGAAGGATTCAGGTCTTCAGCGGTCCGACTAGTTAAATGCGATGCACAATTTGAGAGTTGAAAAGCAATTTACTGTATGACTGGAAGCTTCTCTCTTGTCCTCTTTACTAAAAGGGTCTGGATAGCTTTCCCCCCCCTTTTTTTAAATGTTCATTTCCTCCCTTATTTTCAGTAAGTTCAAGGCATCATACAGAGTTCTGCTCCTCTCCTCCTCCTCAGAACAAACCTGCCAGGTGGATTGATCACCAATCTCACCGTACAAGAATGTTGTTTACAAAATAACGTTTAATTTTTAAAAATAATTACAGAATTCACTGTATGGTACTAAATTCACAGATAAATCCCCTTGAAACAGATAAACAATGGAGCATTTGGGGGAGTCTATGGGGAGTCAAGTTTTTTTTAATCAATGGCAAACCCCACCTGAAGATGCAGTAATACCCCTCAGGTTATATACTACTATTTGATTTGCAGAAAAAACATAGGGGTGCGTATGTACTGCAAAAATCAAGCAGAAGGTATCCACAAACAGGCAGATATTGGCATGCTGGCAGTCTTGGGGAATTGCTATGCTGCCTTCGGTCTCCAGACAAGAAGACAAACTTCAGGGCAGCTTTGGCAGGTCTGATTCTTGAATTTGTAAGTACTGTAAAGCTGGGCACTCATTTCTATCCATCCTCAGCTGGTACCTGGGCTCATGGGATTGGTATAAATGTATTTCTAGGTGTGTGGCACTTCTACAGTGTTGGGACACAAAAAAAGCCAGACGCAAGGGAAGGGGGGCTGAAAGACAACTTGTGAATACTTGCATTTAGTGACATTTAGAGGAGGAGAGGTAGCGAGCCTTCTTGTTGCACAAGCCCCCACAGCAGTGGCACAGGACCTGGGGAAGAAAGGTTGCCCATGGGCTGAAAGTGAGCCTTCCACAAGCCCCAACAGCAATATAAGGTCTGCCTGGAAAGCTTCCAAATATAATGTGTGCTATATAGATAACATCTTGAAGGATGTTAGCTGTAAGCAGGAATGGTGATGATGGCAACTACTGCTGACCTTGGGCACATTTTGCCAGCTACCCCAAAATACCCCCCCAAGCTCTGGAGTTTCATAGTACTGTACCTGGCTAGTTTCCTACCTGAATATTGGGCCCATCTACCCAGATTTTCTGCATGTCTGTTTTCATAAGAAGTAGTTTTTGCATCCCTTCCCTCCTCTGCTGCTGAGAATTCACACAGATCCACCCTTGGTTCCATATTTTCACCCTGAAATCTCGTGGAATGGGATGTTGCTGAGCTGGCAACCCTTGTCAATATGAATATTATATTGTACAATCACAACCTACATTTGTTACAGCACTGTATCATGAATACTGCAAAATAAAAGGCTTTTATTTTCCCTTTTTCACTCTTATTTTGCTGATCAACATCTGTTGCTACATCAGATATAATAAATTAGTTACTTAAGGTAATTTGAGATGAGACTTCTATGCTGATCAGTATTTCTGGGGGTTGTAGTCCAAGAACATCTGGGGGCCCAAATTTGGGAACCACTGCTCTTCTTGTTGTTGTTGTTTAGTCATTAAGTCGTGAGTACGGTAGTGATTTTCTATTCTATGAGTAACCTGCATGGATGCTGTAGGTAAGGACCAGGACTCTTTGATGTAGTCCATCAAAGCAGGAATAAAGGCTAGGCTGAGAGGAGGAGACCTTTCCTGATTGATGTCATCGAACATCAAGTCCTGCTTAGGCAGCGGCGGCTGTTTGATGTTCAGCTGCAAGGACTTGGCCATTCTTGACACCATTTGAGCATAAGAGGAAAAATCTTCAGAAGGAGAAGATAGGTGAAGATCTGCAGCGTCCGACTCAGGAGTTCAGCCAAATAGGGGAATTGTTAGAAGTCTCTGAGAAATTCTTCTGTTCTGTGTCAGACTCCGACATAACAAAAAAGTTGTCTTGCAAAGAAGGAGATGGCGAAGGTGGAGCACGTTGCCTTTTATGTACATGCTTGCGCGATGAGTTTTTAGATGACTGCTGCACAACTGTCGAGTTCGAGCGATTTTGCGGAACCGTTAGGGTGAGTCAGTCATCCTTTGACTGCGAAACCACCAGGCATTGGGTTTCTTTATTTTTCCCCCTGATGTTTTGATGGCTTGGGCACTATATAATATGTCTCATAATATACTCTATGTCTATGTTGAGGTGGAGAGGGAGAGAAAGAAGATGAGGACAAGGCATAAACATAACGCAGCCTTTTATGATAATAATGTTCCTCAAGATTGGAATAATCCTCAATCTTGTCTTCCTCCCCTCGACATCGATGACAGTCTCGCTTCCAATCGACTATGACATACCTGTATATGGGGTCATCGTGAGTAGATCTGTCTCGACGCCAAGATGAACAGGACAGTAGAACCACCTTCTGTCTAGAGGATTGATGTCAATCCGGAGAAATATGTTTTCTTTTTGATGTCTTCTTACAGTGTGGAGAAGTCTGTACCAAAGACTGAGAACTGGAGAGGTGCACGATTGTCGCCCGCCTGACAGAAGCAGGGCTTGAATGGGCAGAGGCTTGACTAGACCTGATATTGTCATCTAGACAGCCCGGGCTCAGTGATCGGCAGGGCATAGGGGCTGAAGCCTGAGCCTGTCTGGGAGGGGTTGACGGAACTCCCTCCAAAAGAGATTGTCAGTCTTGAGAAGAGTCCTCTAGGATCGGAGACGATAGAGATGCTGAGACCAGTGGGATGTCTCGGGGTCTACCAGTCTTGGACAAATGCTTGTCTTTTTCATTCTTATCCGCTTTCTTCTCATGCGCCTCAACTGACAAAGCTTTGGACACCGGGGTCGGCGTCAAGGTGGAAGACTTTCTCAATGTCATCCCCAAAGACTTTTTGGCGCCTTTTCAGTCTCGAGGATGGTAAAGCCTGAGGAGTTGGAGTCATGGCGTCAGGACAGATTGTAGAAGCTGGTGTTGTGGCAGACTCCATAGTGTCCAGTTTAGAAGACGATAAAGTCTTATCCCAAAGGAATAATTTTAATCTTTGTTGATAAGCTTTTAGAGCCGGTTTTGTAAATTTTTTACATTCCTTGCAAGACTGTAGCTTATGTCCCTCCCCTAAACAAAAAAGACGGTGATTGTGGCCATTGGAGAAAGGAAGTTTACAGGAGCACGAGACGCACCTGCTGAAGAGGCCCAACGGGGACATAAGCAGTAGTTGTTTAAAAAGAGCAGAAGGGTGAGAAAGAAACTCACATCAGTAAGCGATGGTCAGAGCATAGTCCTGCGTTTAAATGCCTGCCACGAGACTGTCCTCTGTTTGAAAGCAAGGCATCGTCTTGAAGGGTTTTGCAGTGTAATTTAGGTTTTAAAAAAGACAAAGGGAAGAAGAGCAGAATTCTTCAAGTTCTATGAGTAACAGCTTGTTGGAGGAGGTACCTCACTCCAAAATGTCGAGGCAGACATGCAAACCCATTTGCCTTATGGGATATTTGTGCTGAACAAGTACATGGAAGGTTAGCCGGTTCACCTGTTGTCACTCTCGTGAGAAGCATGAAAGTGAACTGTACTCTGGTGACCCGTATTGTTTTTCTATTAAAATGACTCTAAATTCTTTCTCCAACTTGGAGTTACTTGTCATTAATTTTAATATCCATTACCTTGCCCAACATGTTTCGAACATACAAGAAAAGAAAGCATTATTAGCCTTGTCAATGGTGTGCGTGTGTTCTGTGCCATCAAGTTGTAACTGACTTCTACTGATCCTAATAAGTAAGTGAGATAGTTAGGGAGGTCAAGTAAGCTTGGTGGCTGAGCAGGGTTTGTAACTTGGGTCTTCCTGTTCCAAAGCTTGTGCTACTTGTGCTATACATACCCGTGTTATATTGGCTCTCTTAGATCAGTACTCACCATATAATTGAGGCCAATGCTAAAATATTTTGGTAGAAAAACAGGACAACAATCAATGTGCTTAATTTGTATAGCATACAAACTGGTACAATTTGTTAATTAATGGTTAATTAATTTGCATAATATGCAAGATATGCTATCTGGAGTTGGAGAACAACAATATGACAATTGCAGGATAGCTCCGTAGTTTAGGTCTCCGGCTACGGAGCCAGGGGTTGGGAGTTCTGTTCCCCACAGTGCCGCCTTGAAACAAGCTGGACTTGATCTATAGGGTCCCTTCCAGCTTTGCAGTTCTAAGATATTATATTATATTAGCCTTAGGGTCATGAAACTCATTGTGTGACCTTGGCTCAGTCACACTCCCTACCTCATAGGGCTCTTGTGTTGACAAAGTAGGGAATGGAACAGACCTGTACATCACATGGAATCCGCTGAGGAAGGTTGGATACAAAATAAAAAATAAGCAAATTGAAGTTGCCTGGCATTGAATTTGAAATGCATCTGAGATACGCACTGTACACTACTTACTGTACAACTGAGCTGCCATTTGTCCTAATCCAGCTTCCTAGACCCAGTCTCTTCAAAATAATCACTACAAGCTGTTAGGGGCTTCAGCATATTGTTTTCCTTATTGTCTCTGCCCTTCACGTACCTGTTTTCCTTGTTACCAGGTCTCAGAGAGTCATCTAAAAAGTCCTAGGAAAGTCCTCCATTCATTTTCAGGCATGACGAGAAATCTCAGAGCAAGTGGTGTTGAAAGAGAAAAAAAATTGTGGGTGGTGTAATTTAATGCCCACCTCCATTCATTTTCAGGCATGACGAGAAAGTGGTGTTGAAAGAGAAAAAATATTGTGGGTGGTGTAATTTAATGCCCGCTTACCTCACACCAGGGCTCACTGGCTTAGTGTAGTACTCCTGTAACATTGGCTCTGTAAGGAACAAGCAAAGGGAACTGGGAAGAGAGACTGTGGTAGTATGCACGCACGCATGCATGCATGCACACACGCATGCA